CTGCATTTCTGCTCGAAATTTGAAACACGCATCACTACAAGCCTCACTCCAATGGTTCGCCCCTCGACGCGACGTTGGCAATTTCCTCCCAGTGAAAGAACTTCGACGTTAGGGGTCGTGCCACGATCAGACTTAGAGGCGTCAACAGTGGGACATTGGGATCATGTGCTTGGAGCCCGGAGATAAAGAGGCGAAGAGAAGTTCACGCATCTTCGATCAATGAGCCATTGGGAACGGGTCCACTCAAGCTACGGCGATCATCGGTAGGCAACGCATAAACTCGGACACTAATCGCTGTTTCCGCGGCAATGTGACAAGCTCGACGATGCAGACATGAAAGCTGACATAAAAAAAGAGGGTGCTTCCAGTGTTTTGTCGGAGCCATGTCGCAGCGGTGAAGGCTCGGTCTAAAAATAATCCGTTGGTCACCGAGGGCCATCAAATCATCGGAGACTAAACTGTCAATGTCCACACCACGAGTTTTTGTCTTCAGCCCGACTGAGAAGAACAAACCCTAGCAAACTAGCCGTCGGGATCCTGGGCGAGAAGCAACGAGACGGACGAGAAGAGAAACATGCGCATGGCTTTCTCGCGCGCACTCTCGATGACTCTCTTCACACCGACGTGGGTGGCTGGTCGGATGTTTGTCTGCTCAGTGCCCAGGTCGAGCCTTCGTTCGATCCGTCCGTGGATCGCTTGGTCGGCTCATCGTGCACCGGAGAGTCAAATTCAGAGTCTGCCGAGAGAACACTCTGATGTCTCTTCTGCTCCCTCCGTGTTCTCCGGCGTTTTCTTCGATTGATGTTTCCCGAGTCCTCATCGATGCTTTTCAATAATTCGGGGCAAGGGTCTTAAGAGCCCTACCGGGATGAACTCGTGATTTTCAGGGGAAGTATTCACGAGGCGGAATTTGTGAACCGGATCAGTCCGCTGATCGATTCCGTGTAGGTGAGCCCGACTAGCCACAACAATCAAATTAAAGGTTTATGGGTTTTTCTTGGCTCACGGAGGATGAGCAAAAGACGAGCTTTTGTTTGCTCACGGATGCGGACGACTACGGGGGCGACTGGGACGACACCGAGAACAAAGGCTGCGGACCTCGTTGGCGGACCGGTGAGAAATGCGGGAGGTACAAAACGGCAGAATGAGGTTACGGAGTAAAAAACTTGAAAGGGAAAGAAACGCAGTCCGAGGAGACAAAGATCTTTTGGAATCTCGGTGGTCTGCGACGAGAGATTCGGACCGACTGAGGGGGAAGGATTCGAGGTTCGGAGATTACGTAGTCGCTGGAGCGGTCTGCGGTTTGTCGTAGAAATTACAGGGCGTTCGAACCCTCATATTTTCTGGTCACCATTCAGTAAGGAGGTCCGTAAACTGACTGGGGGATCGCGTGCGGCTACAACGGATATTCAATCGAGAAGCTGGCTCAGAATCGCTTCTCTTCGGCGAAAAAGTCATACCAGTCTGGAAAGACGCAGTAGCGAGAATACAAAAACGATCCTCAGAAATTCTCGGCATCTTCCAGACCACGATCCAGGTTTCTCTTTTCTGAAGGAAATCGTCGTCAATTTTCGATTCCCCATGTTTCCGTGTCAGAAACACTATCAGATACACTTCGCACTTCGGCAGATCCCCGATTCCGTCACGCCAGAATAGTAGCATCATCGCTTCTCTCACTTCTTGACAATCTTGGCATACGAATCTTATCATGGCTATTCCTCCCAACCTCCCCAACCACACCTTCGGTCGCAGTCGCAGCTCGCACCTCGAGATTCTGCTCGAATATCGGATTGTTCTGTGGAACGATCTCTCGGAACTCCGCTCTGTCTCTGTAGTGAGAAAGTCTACTTATTCCTGCGTCGATTTCGCAGTAAGGGAGGTCGATGTTTCCACAATCACCTGAGACGGTCTCTACTTTAAGCAATCTGTATGAGCGAGCTAAGAAAAACGACCAGGTTCCTCTCTCCGCTTCTTGCTGGCCCCTCGATTGTTGTAGGATCTGACTTCCATATGGTCGAAGTTGTGCGTTTGAATGAGCAACATTTCATCTAGTCAAACCTACACGCTATTTTCTCTCTTCTCGAGGTCCCTTACTGGAACGTCCAAGGAGACTAACGAGCAGGAAGTGGAACCAATGAAGCGTCTCGCAGACGCTTCAACTGCAGAGTCAACACCGATTCCCAGAGAGCGATCGATTTTTGAAACAATTCGGGATAATCATTTCTTATTTTTTTTACTGCAATTTGCTTCAGAGTTAGAGACGTAGCGAAATAGCATAAGACAGCTACCCTATATCCTACCCCGATGTGGGGGACTGGATAGGCCTTTTTTGTGAACGCCGCTCATTCGCCCGCAAGCATGATGCCGGATATTCTAGAGTTTAATCGAATGGAGTCATCGAAAATGATTAGCCATTGATCGAATAAAATACGCTGACCGATACACTCTTCTCTCTCTCTCTCTCTCTTCTGCAAAGGTCTGAGGCGAATCTTCTCCTGAGCCGTGGTTCTTGATTTCATAAACCATGTGACAGCGAGCTCCCGCGTGTCGATTCACAAACTCGATAGGCTCTGAGAATGTCACCCGATTCCGCAAGATGATCCGAGTGACTCGATATACCGCGCTCCATGGTCATTGTTGGATTTTCGGGTACGTCAAATGAGCACGCGGAACGCAAAGCGGCAGCATCTGATCGTACAACGGTCGAGAGACGACTCCTCCGGAATCCGCAACCTATGAGTAGCAGTCGCCGCGATAGGATGAGTCTCTCATCACATCGCGAGGTCACTTGCTAAATATGAGATTCTCGTATCTATTTATAAACACGAGCAAAGCATCGCATGCATAAATCTCGCTCCGTCGCATCCTCCGCGACAATGAGTCCATTGTCAAGACAAAGAGGGAAGAATGAAAATATGAAGGAATCAAAAACAGACGGGCTTGGGTATTCGGAGAGGCTCGAAGTTGACAAACTTCGGGCCACACCCGGCGCCAGCTCTATTGCTTGTTTTCGGCCCCTCCAGCAGCGCCGGATCTGAAGAATTTTACTGTTGCGGGACCATGCTCCGTAGCGTACGAGGCTGACCCCATATAACGATATCACGCACTGACAAGCCTTCTCGTGCATTTACTCTGAATTGTCAACTTTTGACAATCGACTAAGCAACGCCAGCCGATGGGTCTATGCTCGCGGAAGAGTTCGCGATTACGCTGCGCTGGCGCCGTCCCTGACAACGGCTAATTGTAAGAGCGGCTCCGGATCCTAGCAAGACGTCGCGGATGAGCGGTCATCCTGAGTTTGCAGCGACTTTTCCCACCTTGTCAGCCCCCGCGTTCGAGCCGCGCCGTGGATGGCGAACGTTGTGCGCTGAGTTTTCTCCGAGGTCCCGCGTTCGATGTTCTCGTGCTTGAGGTAGGCGAAACAGTGTCATAGAGTTCGATTTCAGCATAGGTGGGAGTTGGACCCGGATCACCGATCGAGTGATCCTTGACATACAGTGTTCTTTCTGGGAAGGAACACACGAGACGGTTTATCGTATCCAATATCGGGGAAGGGAAGGAGAACCACAACGAGCCAATGAGCCGCTTAACGAACAAGTCGAGATAGGCGGACGTCCCCGGCACACTGCTCCGTTCGGGGAGCCGAAGTGAATACTCGCTCGGACGATGAAAAATTGCTCCTCGACGCTCGGACGATGAAAAATTGCTCCTCGACGCTCGAATGACTTCTATTCCCCGAAAACAGAAACAACCCCCAAAAAACTCGAATTCCGCTCAGGCAAACCGAACATTTTGCGACACGAATTATCTTCGTTGATCGAGGAGGACCCTACAGAGAGAGAGCTATGAAAGGAAACTTGAACTGTTTCCCCGCAATTGTGGTGCATGTGTTTCGCGGACAGCGAGATCTCCGATTCCTGCCGCGAATGAGGGCAGAAACTGCAGGCAGAAATTCATTGCTTATCATCATTAGCATCGATGACAGCTGTCGTTCACGATGACCCGAATTCGATATTCAGCTTCCGAAGGATGACAGCCGTTCCGCTCAATACGAGGGTTTCCTAGTCTCCTGAATGATTGGATCTTCATACATAACTGATTCGGGATCGTTCGCCTCTTCGCGTTCTCAGCGAACACCTGATTCCCCTGCAGTCGATTCCTCAGTGAGGGATCGCTATCCCTGCGAAGTGTGGCTCGTTTTTCCGAGATGGTTCTCTGCATTTGTCGAGCATCGAATCCCGAACCAGTCGGAACTCAACTCTCTTATTCGGCAAGTAGCTGCGCCGACCAGAACGTTGCTTTTTTTGACTGCCTCTTACGCTACAGGTGAGTGGCAAGTTGTCACAAAAATTGATATTCTGTCTACAGTCTACAAGCGACGGTAGACGCTGCGCGTCGCTGATTTATCACGTTGTCGACGTCGCCAACGGCTCTGTAACCCACCGGTAGTTGTATCGGTAGTGTAAGGCGCGACAGCACCATCGCTCGTTCTCTATGATCGTAGTAGTGCCGCGCCGTCAGTAGCTGTGGTAATAGTTGTCGTAGTCAGCTTTCGGACAGATGGATAGCCCTCTCCTGGCCTCCTTTCTCTCTGCGAACTCTCCACTGGTGGCAGATCGTCTCGTTCAGAGACACGGGCAAGTTCAGATGTGCTTCTCTGACTCACTGACAGCTGGACATTCTGGAACTTCTGCGTTGACAGCCGTAGAAAAATCGAGTCGAATACTCCCCTCGATGCCGCTGCTGGAAACGGTGCGAGATTCCAGAATGGGAGTGAGCCAGCTGCCATGAATTGTGCCGAAAGTATTTTCTTCTGAGCGTCGGAAACACATTTTCGGAAGCCTCTGAAGCGACCGAATTCCGTAGTGTTTACCACAGCGCGCAGATTGTGCCATCGAAAGGAAGAAAAAACTGTGAAATGTGTCTAAGGTGCAGTGGATTACCTACGAGCTCTCGTGACTCTCGTGTGATGTGATGTGAACGTGCGATTGAGCTCAGCAATGTACTGGCTCGTCCAGATTGTGCTGCTTCTGGCAGGTGTCGCGGTCCTTCCGCTCCGCGCGCTACAGGTGGAACGGTACTATGTAACCGTACCACGCGGTTTCACCGGATCGGTGGACTCTTTTAGGAACTGTACGAAAGTCACGCTGATAACGCAGTTTGAAGAACACCACAGAGTCGTCGAAGTCGAGTTCCATCCGAAGTGTGAAGGGAAGCTGCGCTTCTCGCATCTCGGCAGCTTGGAACCGAGGGAATTCGTTCTCGAGTTCCTCGCCCAGGACAGCGCGGCGAACGCCTATGTGGTGGCCGTACATTTCACCGTAATTGAGAACGCTGCGCTGAATAAAGTTCTCAGAACAGGTTCCGTTGCGACTCTACGGATCAATCAGACGTTGTCGAAAGTTCTCCACCTGAACCGGTGTCAGGCGAGACTCGTTCGGCTCCCGCAATTCAAACAGCTTTCCGGGGCTTGTGGAAAAAATCTCTATGAGTGGCAGAAATGCGAGGATTTCACCGACGTGCATTTTTCCGAAAATACCGATCTCGACGATTTCGTGATCGCGATCAAGAGCGACTTGGACGGCGAGGAGACGAACGTCATCGTTTACATGGTCGATAAGCTCCAGGCACCGGAACCCACCTTCTCGTCGAGCCTTCAAATCGAAGTCACGCCAAATATCCTCACGCCAGTGAGTCACACCGCGCTTTCGACCGATGAAACTGCAGCTTTCTTCCGAGTTCTTGGATCTCCGGAAAACTGCGGATTCTTCAAAGCGAACTCGCGGACACAGATTCGTCAGTTTTCACCGCAGGAGATCGATAATTTTGAAATCGCGCTCCTCTGCAAAACCGTTGAGCCGATCCTGGAGATCAAAATGGACTTAGTGAACATCCTCGGAGGAGAATCCTACGAGAAGTTCAGTCTGAGTCTGAAGCAGGCCGATTTCGACCAGGCCATAGCCTACGAGGACCTCATCGTCAACGGGAACAATTCCGCCACTCTCGTGGTCGAAAGCTCGAAAGATCTCCGGATTTGGACCGTCGAGGGTTTCACGAGAGGCGTCCTCATCCACGACGGTCTGACCGTGGATCAGTTTGCGGCGAACTCCCCGCTGACGTATAGTTCGTCCGCCAAAGAAATCTCCACGGACAACCTCGTCCTCAAGCCCAATCAGAGTTCGTTCCAGTTTCTGGTACCGGTGATTGTCGTACCGATGGAAATTAATTTCTACCTCACGTTCGACAGCCTATCCGTCATGATCGGTCGGAGCACCGTCGTGTCGAAGAATCTATTCAAGTATTCGAAGACCGTCTATCTGGGCGAGATCGTTTTCACCGTCAGCAAGCCGCTGCCGTCGCAGGGCGAGTTCCTCCTGAACAACAAACGGACGACAAAATTCACTTTTTCGGATGTCCTGCATCTGAGAGTCGCGTATCGAGCCTCCCCGGCCGCGAAGATCGGATCCGAAGACGTGATAATTCTCTGCGAGAACACGATGTTCTCCGCGAGTCTCCTCACGACCATCCACTACTCTCATGGGACCAAGGACAAGAGCTATCCCCGCAAAGCTAAAAACAGCGACCTGCAGATGAAGGTGGGCGCCTCCGGCAACGAGCGAGTGGTCCTGGAGAAATCCCACCTGAACTACGAGGATTCCTCCTCCGATGGCAACACTTGCTCTCAACACATCACCTTCAGGATAACGTCACCGCTCATTGACTCCGGCAACCCATCGGCTACCGCCATCGGTGAAATCGCTGACGAGAGCGGCAGTGGTTTAAGCGAATTCACCCAGAAAGACATCAACATGGGTCGCGTTTTCTACTACCCGCCGTCGTATGTCTTGGATCGCTTGCAGCCCCGAAGTTTGACTTTCGAATTCTCGGTCTCGGATCAGTACGGCAACAAGGTGAACAACCACAAGTTCTACATTTATCTCGATTCGGTGAAAATAGAACAGACGTTTAACTTTAACCTTACGTCCGCTGCCACCATCCACGTCCTGGGAGACAACATGATGAATGAGACGTACAACGTGAGCTCCAGTCGCTTCATGCTCACCGAAGCGCCCAAGCACGGAGCTCTCAAAGATCCCGAGAACGACGTATTGATCGTCGGTGACATCTTCACCTTCGACGAACTGCACAATTTGGGTATCAGATACGTCCCACACTCGAGGAATGTCAACGACTCGTTGGAGCTGATTGTCTACGACTACGAGACCTCGTCGAGCGGATCGACTACGAAAAAGAAATACTCGATGATAAAGTTGAATTTTCTCCCGTACGACTCGCTCAGTCACGACACCGAGCGTCTCGATGGAACTTCGTGGCGTATGAAGGTCCTCGAAGGTTCCAGCAAGAGCATGACCATCGGAGGAAGCCAATACCTCGTTGTAGTGCAGCAACCAGGACACGGCAAGGCATCTATTAGCGAAGACCGGAGCAGTTCGGGGATGATAAACATCACGTATCAGCACTCCGGTGACGAGGTCGGACTCGAGATCGGCCATGACGTGTTCGTTCTGCAGAACGAGGACGGGACTAACATAAAAATTGAAGTTCAGATCCTCCCTGTAGACAACTCGTCCCCCGGGATCACGCTGCCCCCGGAAATCACGGTGCAGGAGGGCGGAAACGTCTCGCTCGGTATCGTGATAGAGGACAAGGACTCTCTTCATTTCAAATGTGATATCACCGAGCCGTCGAACTTGGGATACCTCGCAAGCTCCGAGGGCTTTGTGTTAAGCTTCACCGAGGAAAACGTCGGTAGTTTATTCTACGTCCAGAACCTGCATTATCAGCAGGAGCCCCGGAAGGACTCGTTCAGTTTCATCTGCACCGATTCCGTGAACGTATCACCGGAGAGTAAAATCAATATCGAAATCATCCCCACCAACGACGAGTCTCCGTACCTGAGCATCGACGACGTAACAGTTTTAGAAGGTCGGATAGCACCGGTCAAGATGAAATTCATCGACCGAGACATACCGAAGGACAAACTGCTGTTCACGGTGTCGAAGCATCCCGAGCACGGAACCGTCGGTATCTTGAGGGCTAACGGCGAGATTTCGAAAATGGACGAGTTCACCGACGTCGAAGCGCATCGAATCGCGTACCAACACGACGGATCCGAGAGCAACACTGACCTGTTCGAATTAACCCTGTCCGACGGTTTTCATAATTTCTCGTTCTCTGCTCCGGTACACGTCTTGGCGGTTGATGACGAGATGCCTTACGTCGTAAACAATCGGGAGGTCCATCTCGACGCGCGCGGTTTCCGGAAACTGACGAGTCACGACCTCAGGTCCACCGACAAAGATACACCAGCCGAGAAGATTGCCTACATCATAACCGACGAACCTCGCTTCGGACAAATTCTGAAGGACGATGAGAAAACAGTGAAGTTCACTCAGGACGACATCGAGAACCAACGGATTTCCTATCGAAATACTTGGAAAGTCTGTTGCATGAACGACAGCTTCAGCTTCAAAGTCACCGACAGCTACAACACCTCACCAAAACAGAATTTCTCCATCGCCATAATCGCGCCTTCATTAGAGGACGCCGACTTGAAACCCAAGAGCATCTCTCTTGCCTCGACGGCCTTCGTTCTGGATTCGAATGAATTTACGGCGTCTCTCGAGGGTAAAGACCTCAGTAGAGAAGGTATCGATCTTCTGTGGACGCTCCGTGAGCCAATCAACGGCGTTTTGCGCTTCACCGATGGTGAGTTGAAAATTCGAGTGAGGAAGCGAGATGAAATGTGAGAAAAAGCCCCTGGGTCATTAGAAATATGGGAGTAGGATTCCACGGACTTCGGTTTGCTCCGGGCTGGCTGGCCAGTGGCCAGATCCCGGTAGTCATCACCGCGGGTCAAAAAGACGGAGTTTCTACTCGGAGCTGTTTGTCTCGAACGGATTCGGGAGCTACTGCGGGGTGTGATTATTTTGAGGCTGGATACCACCCCATGGGGGAATCCTCGAACTCGACCGGCATCCGAGCTCGGAGAGCCATCAACCGTCACCCGACGCCGGGCTGTAACCACTTGGTGACAAGTGACTGTTGCTGAAAATGCGAGTAAAGCCCCGACCGTTATCGAAATCCATCTCGGAATTCGGCGGCTGTTATAAAGATTGCGATCACAGGACAGTTTTTGTTAGCTGTGAAAGCGTCTTTTAGTGGGAAACAAAAATAATCGAGATGTCTATCTTCGCTCCGGGTGCTCTTTCGAGAGAGGGGCTCTCAAAATCCGCGGTGCAAACACGGCCGGCTCACACCCGGGCTATTAGGCGACACCGACCGAGAAGTTTCTGGTGAAGGACCACGGATCCGTCGAGGGAATGCGCGCAGAAAAGCGAAATCTACTCGGCGATCCTGTCTACTTGGTCCTGGATTCCGGTTCAACTTTTTCGACATTGCGATTTTCCCATGGGCATAGGTTGACGATGGCGGCCTTTCGAAAATGAACTGTGACGGATGATTTCTCTCATTCCGGCGCGGATACTGTTGCGGTCAACATGGATAGGCTCGGAGTACAGTGGGATCATTGATCCATCTCCAGCAAGTAGCCTGAGCTACATCTACCGTTGGATAAACTGCGCCACGGACATATTGAGATCGTGGGAACGGCGGCGAAGTCGAAATGGGGATCAGAGCCGACTCAGCAAACATGCGCTTTAACACGTTTGAAATTCCTCGTGGGATTTGAGAACGAATAACTCCTCCCGCGCATATTACCAGACGTGTCTGCTGCAACCGCTCAGTGATGCAGCGGGGCAACCTGCGGTACACCGAGGCTATCACGGAAACTATCCGAGTCTCCGGGGCTACAGCGTCATGATCTCTTGCATGGCGTTAAGGCTCCAGGCTTATGTTAGGCATACTATCCGCTTTTTCTACTCATTCCAGTTTGCAGAAGTCGGACACGTCGCACAGTCGGCCTCTGGTCCGGCTCGAAAATACCGCGCGAAATAATTCTAAGACTTCTCGAAGTCTTGAGAGAGAGAGATCGATTACGATCTGTGATATATTTTCTGACGAAGGTTGATGTTTTCGGAAACTAGCGGGAGGATTAACCTTCATCCGGTAGACCGTGACCGCGCACCGGCTCGTGTCGTCGAATTCCGGCAAGAGATTGCCTTAAGCCAGTACGAGCTCATTATCATCCGAACTAGATCCATCGGGAGCTTCCTCAGGAGGGAACATGATTGCTGAATTTTCGGTGAATTTGTTGAACCTTCTCGTCTGTGAGTTTCAACCGATCTTAAAACAGCATGTAAGCGTTCGTAAGGGAAGTCATAAATCACCATGTCGGAATATGAAAGTTCGGGTACATGCTCTAGAAATGACAGAGGCACTACCCAATTCGCAATGCGTAGAGTCCAAACTCTGAAGGGTGTGATTCGTTTATCGCTCCCCATGATGGAATATCGATCCTCCTCATATGTTCAAAGAACAGAGAGCTCGAACTAACGAGATCATGAGCATCACGAAAGCCGAGATCATGAATTGAATGCCGGTTTATTAGGGGAGAGCTCTTTTTCTTGAACGTGGGCACCAAGTGTGTCTAGGCGGCTGAGTTTCTCCGATTTCTCTCTTCTCTATTCGCGAATCATTCATTGAGGAATGGAAGCCCATTGAAGGGCACTCGTGTAGGGACGTACCGAGGGTTTCTCCAGCGGGAGGGGGAGGAGGGGTTGCGACCCGCTCCTATACTTTTACATTACGGAACAATGTCCTGGGGTAAAGGGGGCTAGAGCCCCATCCGGCCCCGAGGTGAATAGACCCAGTGCACTGGAACTCTTCACACGCTGTTGCCAATTCGAATTATGATAAGCTCCGTACCTTCATGGATGGCATCAAATTCAAGAGTATCAGGAGGACGTGTTGCGAGCAAAACGTTATCTTGTCCCGAATAAACACAGCTGCTCCGAGAGGTCAGCCAAGCTGCGAACAAAGCGTCCACATGTTTCCCCGAAAAAGGAACTCGGCAAGCTCCCTGACCGCCGCGGTCTCCTCGACCACTGATTCTGTCATCGCGCTGACTAATATCGGGTCAAGCATTGGAACCTTTCATCGACTTAGTCAGTGACAGCCGCCGTCTTAACGAGCTGCCGATTAGTTCGGAACCGCGTTCCCGCCAAATAGCACAAAAAAGTGTATTTATCTCCGTGATGACACAAGAAGAGTATTCTCGCGCCAAGAACGATTTCTCCGCGATCTTGGTTCCTGACGGCGAAGACTGCGATCCCTGGTAACAGGTTCCGATGAGCACCCGGACTGAACCGGAACAAATGCAAGTGCTCTCCCAATAGGGAAAAAATCATGTGTTTATTCGTAGCTCATCCCACCGAAATCACGTCATCACAATATTACCAATCGGGGAGCTGCGAGAGAAAAAGACAGAAGCGATCAATTCCAGAGGCGATTTGTAGAAGTGTTCTGACCCGCAGAAAATGGTTCGGGTGCATCAGAATGAGCTGGAAGACGGAAGGGGTAGAGAAAGAAAGAGCGAGAAGTGGTGTCGTTGGGCTGAATAATGATTTCACGGCAATGATCGGAGCAAGTATCTCCGGAGAACCATCCGTAATGAGCCCGATGCCGACAAACCTCGAATGCGCGTCTCCCCAGTTCGGAAACCCATGATGGGTACAGAGTTCGTAAAATATTGGTCAGAATCGGAGCATGAGTCATCTTATTTTCTTCCGCAAGTGTCCGCGTCGGAGGCCATCTGAACGAATGTTGCGTTACACTCATTGTACTGTTCCCGTGATAATCGGAGCCGGTAGGAGGTTCCCCTCGAACTTCAGAGAACCTCCTGAGAAACGGGAGAATTTCTCCATGCCCCGGAGACAAGAAGACCCACGAATTAATCCTTCCGAGGCTCGGATCTTTCACCCGGTGAATCCTCGGAATGCATCCGAGGGAATAAGCGAAAATCCTCGTGCTCACAAAAACTGTGAACTTCAGGGAGCACTCGCATTCGCTATCGGAGCAGGTTTCGAAATGAGCGGCGAGTAGCAATCCAGAGAGAAGCTTGCTCTTGTCGATGGCAGCAGTCGGCGAAGAAAATTCACGGCGAATTCAAATTGAGATGACTCTGTGCCATCATTGTTAAATGACGCCCCACTCATTTCAAAATCACAGTCGGAAGAAAATATAATGACACTCAGTAGAAATAATGACACGAAACGCTCTGGTGAGCCCAACTTGGAGTGATGAGCAAACGTGCCGAAAAAGTAAAGATTCCTCTTTTCTCGCTGGCAGAGGGATGTGTACCGCTGGTGGTCTCTCCTCCGGTCTCCTCAGTCGATTGGGGTCTCAAATCTTCCACAAAAAGGCGGCAAGAGCGGACCTTGAGGCACTATTTTGCGCGGGAAATTCTGAGATTCGATGAAAGCGATTCAGGAGCCGAATCTAGGGGAGAAGCGCGCACAGCATGTGGTAAATGAATGCAACCTACGGAGCGTTTCCTTTGAAACCATCGGGAGCTTTCACTCAGCTTCGGAAGGATATGGACCAGAAAGTTCAAGGTGTTCGGAACACAATTTCATGGCGGATGAAGTAGTTCAAAGCGATCCATCTGGTGGACAGTCACATGAAATCAACTCGTAGAACGTGTTGCATTCGGAGGCGGGAGAATTTCCTCGCTATGCCTCAGCTGTAGCACTTCCCAAGACCAGCGAAGTTCAGAAACGATTCAGGTCCAGTCTGAAAGTCTTATAGAAGCTATTTATCAAATTAGGTGACGAACTGCGCGGCTGCTCGCGGTTTTTCTCTAGTACGAGCCCGGAATTGTTTGATGTACAGTGGAAGTGAATATTTCAAGACGCAAGATTAACTTCTGGAGGTTGGCACGTGGCTCGGATAAGCGGTGGCTTTTCGCTCGGTTTCATTCCTTCATGATCGACGATAGCGGTCTGATGAAGGAACGCTCACACGCGCGTTGTTCTTCCGATATGTCCAATTATGGAGACACCGTGTTCCAGCGACCGGTCTTCGGCGCTACCGGATTACGTCCCCGAATTCGCCGCCCGTCCAGCCCCATTTTCTTCCTTCGTTGTGATGTAGCAGTGTCACCGGAAACGGAATCTTCCACTCGCTTCCCTTACTGAGAGTTATTTATAACACGAGAAATTGTTTTCTAGAGAAAAATACACTATGTAGGTGGGCAATGATAATCCATTCTTCCGACCGTTGACTTTCGGCGAGACGTTTCAGGCTCGTGAGCGTGTTTTCCTTTTGGGGCAGATTCGAAATTACGATTTCATGCCTTGAGCAAACATGAGACACTTGGCTTTTAGTCATGACCGTGGGCGAGTCGGTCGAGCCTGGCCATGGCTTCAATGTTAAACAATTAAGTCTTCATTCGGACTCGTCCGAAACGTCCGCTCGCTCGCTTCCCGCGGTTTCTCCATCGTTTCACGGATCGAGAGAAGACTGCGGCGCAGAAAGTGGCCGGGTAGGACGACGAAAGGATTATTTAGCGAGAGAAATATGTAGGAGCTCGGCTCCGTTTCGAGCAAAGGTCCGGCACTGCCGCAGTGCTGGCCATACGTTCATTGCTTTCTGAGTCTATTCGGAGGGTCTGACGCGTTCGATGGATCCGCCACGGAACAGTTCATGGACGGAGTCTTCCGTTCGACGTACGACAACGCCAAGAGCTGTTAAAAGGCGTTCCATGGATGAGTTCCATGAGTCTTACTAAACGCTCGTCGCGATCGAGAACTTCCCGTCGTTCCCCGGCAAGCTGTCCAGCATACATTCTCCGGTCCCTGATGTGACGTGCGGCCGACCTCTCGTTCCAAGCCCCTGAGTCTCGATTGTGGAGATCTTCTCCTGCTTGACGACGAGAATGTCTTCTCAGGAAGAGATCCGGTTTCCGAGACGGAGGCGTTCCGGATTGGAATTATTGAGTTCGATGACTTGAGACGTTGACACAGGGGGTGATCCCTACGGAGAGTTTCCGACTCCTCCATGCGAGAATTGTGAAGTCGAGGTTGGGAGGATTCGGCCCGGACACATTGCTCGGGGGGTATGTCGAGAGCCGTTCGGAGCGCGCCTTTATTCCGGAGTTTCATCCGGCAGAGCAAAGGATGGTCGAATTCTTTCCATTCCGAAAAATCCTCCTGACGCGACGTTGGAATGACAAAACTTCCGTCCAGATCCTGCTCGATGCTCAGCATCACTTTGTTTACGGCCCCGTCAAGTGTTTCTCTCGAACTTTCGGAATGCTTTCGTGGATTTGAATAGAATCTGTTCGAAGTGTCGGTCCGGTTATCGCTCGCTGCGAATCGTTCGTGACGGACATCTATCGATGACGAATGGATTTTCAAACTGCTTTTCATAACGGATAAACAACCGTTAGCCTGTAGCATGGCGGATCTTTTTCCGAGCGCTGGGAGCATTCGTCTAGAGCTCGTCACTCCTCGAATCACCGCAGTCAGCGCTGGATATTCCTCGGACAGTTTCCTCGAGGCCAGCCCGACTGAAGATGAGTGCGATCAGCCACAGCTGATCTCAGCTACCCGTCGATTCGCTCGCGTATCATGACGTAAATAGCTGCATATACACACATCATAGCGGATTATATCTCTAGCGGTAAACTCGGTCGACTGATGTCGCCAGCCCGTCCGACTCGGACGACGGGCGCTTCGGAACTCCGCGAGGGTCAAGTCAGTGAGTTATGACCCTCGAAGTCATTCCGAAAGAGAAACCAGTTCCTCGGGGAGGAAAACCCGACCAATATTTTCTCTTAGAGAGACAAATTATAGAATTCCCTCCTCTTTCTCACCCTTTAGCTCGCTAGCGGTCCGCTCGACAGCTACATTGCTGTGCCGTTCGCCGTCAGTCACTTCCAGAGACGCATAGACAACACGGACACAACTCATTCGGATATTTATAGCTCAAGTTTTTCGGGGCATTTTAGCGTTATTGGCCAGCATCCCGCTGGTCCTTCTTGATTTTTGTGTTTTCGCTTTCCCCTGTTTTTTCTCCCTGCGTCATGGTTTCGTTTCTTCTTCTCCTCGTTCCGCAGCAGCCTTGAAGGAGGCGCGGAAATCTTCACCGCGGGACATAAATCCTAGGCGTTCGTCTCGTTCATGATCGCCGGCCGATACCGACGCGTTGTGAATGTTATCACCTCAAATTGCCTCGGGTCGGCTTCGAAAATCGAACATAAATTTCACGCCACGTTTCCGCCTCGATCATTACACTTCAGAGCGTCCCGGGCACCCTTTTTCGGGAGCCTATGGTGAGCGTACTGGGAGTTCGGTTTTGAAAAGATACGATCCCAGAGGGATGCGAATCGGATGAAAAATCTTCATCCGGACCCGTTCCGAGACAAGGAAAACTCTGAATCTCGATCCAGATTATCTCAACGCAGAAGGGAGACGCAAAGAACGTCGTTGACGGCGCCATCAGGATCATCATTAGGCTCTCACAAGGATTACACACGTGGCTGCGGCCGATGATGAGAGCATGCGAATGTGTGTTTGTTCGTCTGTCGTATTCCCTATTCGGACCGAGTTTATGGCTGGCCATTCTTCACTTGAGGTCTGTCACTGACGCCAAGTGAGCTGAGGTACACAATGCCATTAATTTATAGATGCCATCGATCAGCCACGCCCGCCCGTGAGTCGACGCGAGAGTTTTACAAGTGACCAGATGTATAGACGCCACTCGCCGTAATTAAGTCGCTGTTCCCCTTGCTCTCCCGCGGCTATCCTACTCGCCTACCCGCGACGGTCACCTAGTGCTCACTCGATGGCTTTCCTTGAAAGAACTTCTCTCCCGCGGTCCACGATTTCCTCAGAGGTCTCTGAAGATAATCTTGACGATGGATTCGAAACCCTCGGCTGAGGATTCGGGCTTGGTGGCTGCGGAGAGTCGTTGTTCTCGTTCGTTGAGCGTGTGCAATGGCTCCATTGAGATTGGCTCCGCGGCTTAGTCCTTGGTGAAACTCTATCCGATCTCTGCATGGGCCCCTAACTTGTGTTTACGCGCTGCTGATGGCGGCGGCCGGCGCGGTGGCGTGTCAGAATCAACCGCCGAACGAATAAAGCGAAAGAATCGAGTAAAGAACGGCTGGACGATACGGACTCTCTGGGACTGTTGCGGCAACAATCTACGCTCGAGTGTTTACCTGCAGAGCACCTCATAATTAACAGTCAGAGGTTCTTCGCGTTTGGCAATTCGAGCCCACTCCGGTCACGTCGTGGTGCTTTATTTCTGGGTGAGATCCGCCGCTCGAAACGTCGCCTCTCGGAAGATCTGAGAAACGAAGTCAGAAATCATGGAAGGGAAATTAAGCGGCCGGATGGAACCGAAAGGTCGCCGCCGATCCGTACTGTCCATGAAACATGTTTACTTTGTTCCCCTCTTCGTGGAATGACGCTTTGAGCCGTAAGGCGGGAGGACTGCACATCTGCGACCGGTCTCTCATATAGACGAAAGTTGACCAATAAATATCTTCTCTCCGACGAAGGTGTGATAAGGAACTACGTAAAATCGTTCTATTTCCAGGAGAGAGTCCGGTCCTGCGGTATTCGATCAAACAAGAGGCTATCGACCACTTCCGAACCAAGGATTCTTTCAACCTACTGCTCCGCACTGGTGAGACTTCATTCCGACGAGAAAAGAATCCGAGTTCTCTCGCAGGAAAGAGAAGATCATTCGATCTTCGGACTCTGTGGGAAAATAGAGAAATCTGATAGAATGGGCAGGGAAGGCGATCTGAGAGACACGAACTTGACTTCTCTATTCTCGTCCTATCTCTATCCCTCAACATACTTTCGGGCTCTCTTGAGAATTTCTCCTCCAGCGTGCTCGATTCCCCAGGCCCCCTTTTCTCGGACTAGCCTAGCTCGGTCCGGATGATATCAATTCTATCAGAAGGGAAGCACAGATATTTTGCAATCCAGACATGGAAGCGATTGAAGACGGTCTTGAAACGAATTGGAATTATGAGAGATCGATAGCCCGCAAATGGATTTGGAGAATTCGCGGTGTGTATATGACATCTCGCATCGGTCCCGAAGCCCTGAATCTGTTCAGCGGCCTCCACTCGTCATATCATACGCGGCGATTTGCTATGATTTCGGGCCCCCCACAGAGAAGAGACGGATATTTTCCCCGAGCTCAATATCAAAAACTGAGTTTGGAACAGTTCTTCTCCTCATTCATTATTAAGTGAAGGTGATCGCCTCGGAGAGTCAATGGACAATGATAGAAGCCTCTTGGGAATTGCAGATACCTGGACCCATGAAAACGTATCGGTTTCCTTGGAATGGTGCTGGTTGCTGCTCTCCGTCGAGGACGATGAAGGCTTCCTCGGAGATCAACTCAACGTCACGGTGACACGGAGGGGCGTTCCCTCATCAACAAGTGAGTCGATGTTTACCTAAGGTTATCGGATACTAATCATCAAAGTCGTATGAAGGCCTTCCGGTCAAAAATCCGCGGCTGTACGGCTGTATCAGGTGGTTTGTCATGCTGTAACATGGAGCAGCGGTTTCTTGTGGCCCGAGGGTCAGATGCAGGTCAGCACAGGAGCAACCTAGTCCTCATCCATCTTCGGAATTCGAAACGGAAACCGCTGACCTGAGTGACGGCTCCGTGAGTCTCCCGACACAAGACACCGCCGAAAGCAATGCTCGACGCTCTCTATCAAGACTAAAAAAAAACAGGATCCATAAACACGATTCCCCCGATCGAGATATCAATGCCCGGATTCGATATTTACTCTTCTGCGCCACTACCCCGGCTCCATATCGACGCAGCTGATTCTGAACTCGTTCCGGTCGACCTCGCACGACTTTCCCACCCCTCGATCGATTGTTGGTCATCTTCATTCATTATTCGGGACTTGCGTGGCTTTGCGAATGAAACAGGGATTCGAACCGAGAGTCATTCAACCGAGTCATCCATCCGATGTCTACTCATCTCTGAATCGCTTCCCACGTTTTATATTCTGTATCGGAATCGCAGAGCCGGAATGGAAATTCTAGAGCCGAAACGACCCATGTGCTCACAAGCCAGGGTTGAGCCTCGTGAGGATCGAACACACTTCAGGAATTTTTTTGGCGCAATTATGCAGCTATGCATGGGAATCATCACGGTCCTTCGGAAATATCTGCCTGAGAAAATACTAAATCCATGAGATGTGCTCTCAGACGAAGGGGCTTCCTGCCCGGCGACTTCCAGACATCGCTTTGGCTTGTTTCCTTGTTCCGCAACCCTTAAATTCGCTCGATATGTTTACTCTGTTCGAAATTTCGAGACGCTCCCTTTACGATTCCGCGTGCCTCCTCGTACTGAGTTTTCGCCTATGTCTGGTCTTATTATTATCTTCCCTAATTTGTTTCCCTATTACCTCCTTAATTCTACGTCTAACCGAATACTTGATACTTGGCAACGTGTAACCGATGTTTCAGATGCTCCGTATCACCAGGGTACATGTATATTATCCCAGTTGAGAAACGTGAATCATTCCAGTGGATAATTCCAGGCCGCAGAATGATCTCCTGGATCCGTTTCCGAAACTGTCAAAAGAATCTCACGCTCACATCTTGTCACAGTTAAAAACAGGCAGCGAATCGTCTCAGAGCCACTAACTCGCGCTCGTCTCAAGGTTGTCGGGTGGCATTCCGCTCGGCTTCTCCCGACCGGCCTTACCAATGATGATAACTGATGCGTTGCGGCTAGTTTGCATCCCGAGTCACCAGAGCCATCTCTGTCCCTGCTCTCAACGCGCTGTCATTATCTCATATGCCTACAAGTGAATTAATTACCTATTTGACGCTCTGGAAGCAACCGCTGACATGGAACCGTATCATCTCGATCGTATAGGGTCGTTCTCTTTCTCTTCAAGTCAAAGTATCCGTCGGAATGGAAGTCATCGAATTACATCGTGACACGTTTCCGCTTCATTTGAATTTCTGGTGCTCGCTCTCGGAGCGGGACTCTCCCATAGACCTTGATAATTCGCTACAAATCGAATATTGTCGTTTGGTTTTCCGTGAGTGTAGAAAGGGATCAGAATTAATGTCGATAAGGTTCTTTGAATGGTGCTCTGGGTGATCCTTCGAGCGGCGGCCAAAGGAGCTTGAGCGCTGAGGTCGTTCAGGGAATTTGAGTCTTGTTGAGACGGAAGTACGGAAGACCTGTCGGGGGCGAATATGGAGAGCTCGATAAACTTTCCGGATAATTTCTCGATTTTGACCTCGATCGCGGCAGGGAGCCGCATCCACTGAGGAGCCTTCAGCAACTTCAGGGGCTTCGCTGATTCGTCCATCCAATCGAGTTCATCGGATTAGAACAAATATCATTTCGCTCGATCGGGAACCCAATCGGATGATGATTGTGTGGACACCGTCGATAGCTCTGCTCCATGTATTTGCTTGGAGTCCTGTAGGGTTCGGAGACTTTTGCTGAAGTCCCTGACCGCCATCGTCATGACTGTCGCCAGGGACTCAGATATGAGAGCTTCTCGAAGATCTGATGAGATCATCCTGTGGAAGAGAACGTCAAACAGTTGATGCGGTCGCTTTGACGGCTTCGCCGGAGCATCGTTTAGCGTGACTGACGTCTTCCTCCGATTTGTGAAACGCGGATCTTCTTTTAGATTAGGAACAATCAGCTGTCGTTAATAAACATGGTTAATCCTGGTTAACCATGATGGCATTGACGAAGGCGGTCGATCCGAGAAAATGCGAGGAGCACCTGAATCGAATCGCGGAACGCACGGGGAAATCCTCCTAAGCTCTCCATGCTCGAGAATAAGACGCCAATCCAATGATATGAAGATTTTCTTCTTGTCCGGCGAGAGCGAAAAGTCTGATTCGGCTGATCACTCGGATCCGGATCGGTCGTAAATTTCATGACGGGCTGAGGGCGTACAATTTTGCGAGAGGAATGCGTACGAGCTCGAATCACTCGACATAGTCCGTGATTTACTGATATTAGATAAGGACGGGTGGAAGCATTATATTCTAACAAGACGTATTTCCAGGCGTGACCTTGACCGTAGGACAGAATCGGTTGCCCTTGACGCTCGACCGGGACCAGAGTTCGCTTTCACTTCAAGTTGAGGTTCCGCCGGTGAAGGAGAAAGACATCGAGCTCAAGTTGATATCAGAGAAGCCCGGTTGCCTGATTCAACCTCAATCTCGTCGAGTTTTCCCCGTGGAGCGTCTCCGCAGCAGCGTGACTTTCGAGCACGCGAGCTACACCGTTCAAGAACCTCGAAATGGCACGGTAAGCCGAATCTTCCTCGTACTCAGAATAGTCACCAGAATAAATGCCGATCCTCGGAGGAGCAAAACCTTCCTGTCGGGAGGATTTCAGCGATTTGAGTTTCTGTGCTCTACACCTTTTGTTCTCCTTCACGAATTCAACCTCTCCGGAAGAACTTGAAAATTCACGTCCATCATTTTTTGATTCACCTTCCCCGTCGATTGACCCGTCGAACGAAACCGACACTCAGTCTGCGCGCAGCGCTCATCGGCGACTGCTAGATTCTTCCTTCATTATTGAGCGCCGCGCGGATCGGCTCATCCTCATTGAATGATCCGAATGAGCTCAAGAACTAGGACCATCGGGATCCATCCCACGCTTGCCTTGATGCCGATGGGAGTTTTTGGTGGAAATTTGTTTTGCCGCTAATGGCGTCGCTGTCATCATTGTTGTTTGCATGGTCGCTTCAGCATCTCCTGAAATCGTTGGTAGCCATTTCGATTTTGTGTGGGATTCTCACCGATCCTCGCGAATTATCCCCGTCGGATGCGGACAACCATGAGCTTGTCCAGGCGCTCACCGCCGATCAGGGTTCGGATTTTTCTGTCTACTGATAGCAGTTCGTACAGCGCGGTGAACATACCAGGGATAAAGATCGATATGAAGACGCAAAAGAAGTCGGAGCGAGAGGCACGGCTCGCGCCGATGAGACGCGAGCCGCAGAGACGGATAGAGTTCGGAGCTGGAGGGGACCAGGGAGAACGGGGGGATACCACGCATGCGAACGCCAGAAACAAGCTAACAGTAGTGGGCCTCATTTTCTGTGACTTTATTTGTTAAGCGATAAGGGGATTATCAGTCAGCATCATCCGTACGCAGGAATGGGAACCGCTGCGGATAATGACGATAATTAGACGAATCAGAGGGAACGGTCCGAGGAACTCATGCGCGATTCGAATCGGGTCTGGATTCGGGTGCTGTTCCTTTGCGCTCGGACTATGCTCGGGCCGCTCGCGCTGTCCACGTCGGAATCAGCCCGTTTTCTCATCTGAAAGCTAAATCCCCAGGAGGTTTCGAAGCCAACTGGGTGATCTCTGAAATCGCAACCTCTCCCGAAAATCCGAACCCACGTCCGATTTCAGGTGCGAGTCTTCCTCAAAGTCGTCCGAACTGATAAGAGGACGTCTCCAATAAACTTTATCGCCGAAACTCAACATCAAAAGTCTGGAGCGACGTCGGGGATCGATTACGTCCCATTGGATCAAGGTGAGCGGTCTTCGAAATACTCCGTGAGACGGCGCGGCTGATCCTGCGACCCGCTCCGACGAACACTAAACTTCGAATCGATTTCCAGCCTTCGAGCTCAGCGGTTCGTCGCGCAGTGTCCTGGTTCCGCTGAAAATTCTCGCCGACCGCGATCATGAGGACGATGAAGCGTTTTTCGTCGTCCTCAAGGAAATGCAGTCCCGCAGGCCGCTGGCCAAGGTAAGCGGCGTCGAAGTCGATAGTAATTTGCCGGAATCGCGCGATCTCTTCCCTCTGCGTTGAATTCAAATCACGACTTGGTTCGTTAGTTTCGTTCGTTCTTACGACCCTCCCACCGCCAGATGGAGCCGTAGAGAAGCTTATCGTATACATTATCGTTAGCCATCATCAGAGCAAGGGTATCGATATCGAGAGCTCTGCTATCGATCCTTCTCGCGGAGTGCAATACAGATGCATGTCTCGGCTGTGCGTCGGACGAGCCGTAAAAGATTTCTTGGCTTGGACGGCAACCCATCCTCTCCTATCTTTATGGCTCCCAACAGTCAATGCTCGAGATAATCTCGAGACGAAAACTACAGAAGACGATTTTTTAGCGTTTCCCTCCCGGGATTCACGTCCTTCCCTACCCTAATTGGGCAAACCCTATCTGACCGTGGGAGGGAATGACGGATGGCGACGGAAGCCTTCACACGAGAGATATCCAACCGGCACCGAGCAGGCTTCCACAGCGAGCGCGTATGCGTCACTTGTTTTGTCCCGAGCGTCCTTCCCGTCCTCCTGGTGACCGCGACGAGGCGCGTACCATGCCGCTCGTGGAGAGTCTCGGCTGAAATTGGTTTCGATTGCAGGCGACGGTTTCCATAATCGACGCGGTATCCTCCGAGCAAACGTTCAGCTCGCCACCGGTCGTTCTCTCGCTGAACGAAGACGGAAGCGTCCTCAATCACTCGATGAGACTTAACCGAGGTTACCCAGCGATATGCATCACGGTGAGCATGGTCATGGTCTTGCTCGACCATCTTTCCGCCTCCGAAGGTCCCCATTCCTCGGACTTTGCATGAGCATGCTCTTCACGAACTTCGAAGATCAGGGCCGTATGGATCTCATACGGGTCTCATAGTATCTCTCTCGAAAATCTTTAACGCGTATCCGCAACTCTGAGACCTACGGAACTCAGAGGAAGGAATACAGTATCTGGCAATCATGGAGCCCAATCGCGTGGCTGACGTGATGATCGACCGGGGTTCCGTGGGTCTGAACTCGGCCGAGAAGCTTAATCTGCATCCGGATTCATCGGAGACGCGTGTTTTCAGGAATGTGACGGACGCCATCCATCATTCTCGCCGCAGTCTCCGTTGTGCAGTCGTCTGGAATTCAGTAATGGGCCGGCGTTGAGCGTTTCTGTCAGGTGGAAATGGGCGCTTCACTCGTCGGACGAACTCGAGCCGCTTGTTCCTCCGACGAATGTGAATTTCCCTGCTCGACTCGAAAGCGTTCTCCTCGTCCCCGGCTCGCGCATCTCGTGCTCGGTCAGACTGCAGCTCGCGCCCGTCAAGGGACAACTGGGGAAAGGCCGAGGCGAAGAACGAGAGAGCATTGTCTACGAAGTTGGAAGCGAGGGGGTTTGTCCACCGTCCAACCCCGACGATGTTGCTTCGGATCCCTACACCGCCACGTTGAGCATTGTCGGTCAGTACGAATTCTCGCGTATGTAGGAGGGCTTTTCGAAAACCATACGGAAGATTTCCATCGATTTCTACTGGAGGAACAAAAACTTTTGAGGGGCTCCTTCGACGGGCCACATATCGAAGGGTCGAGAGATCTCTGGCTAAAACCGGCTAAAATTTTCCATCCGATTACAACAGAAGGGAGCTCCCCGTCAAGGCCCCAAGTGCGGCTCCTCGTCACCATTCCCCATCGCGACGGACTTCTCCCGTTGGTGTCGACGTCGCCGATTCCCCGGTCGGTTCTTAGCTCATCTTCCGTGGCGGCCCGGTATCCATGCTCGAACTTCGCCAATTTCAGGTAAGCCGTCCCCAAAGACGGATAAACTTAAGCGTTCGTTAAGCATACGAGGCTTTCCCGTAGCTCTGGGATCCGGAGCTCCTCGTCAGCGTTGCAGATCCGATTGGTTCCAATTCGATCCCTAATAGCGGCCCAGTCCTCGGAAACAACGTTTTCTCGTAGGGACAGCGCACAGGGTCGCTTATTAGAATGTTTGTTCTGTCTCCGGAGTGTTTGTTTTGAACTCGTGTGGGTGTTCCTCTTTTGCAGCTCGTTGATGTCGACGCTGTCACTGCGGAGCTGCTCGTGGAGATTCCATCGGGTGTTCACTGTCGAGCAGCTCGAAAAGCTCTGCGGTGCCGAACGCAAGACGAAAGTGTTCGCTTCTTCTGACGAGCAAGAGGACTCGATCGAAGAGCTTGATGCTTCAACGGTGACGCTTTCTCTGCCTCTTCACGTCGCCTACTTCTATCGAACTCCTTGTCCATCGCAGTCGTCACCCGCTCAAGTGCGTTGGAGGCATGTTTCGCTGTCGAACGTCGTTCAGCTGAGTTTCCTCTCGGATAATAATCAAGCGAGCGATCAAAAGCTCAACGGGGGTGAGTGTAAACTCGAATTCAGAATTCTCACTGCATTGGCTTTATGACGACTCAAGACCGGAGCCTCAGGTGGATCCGGTTTAATCCGTCGTCCCGAGTTCGGCCGTTAACCACGAGCTCCACCGGGTGTCGAACGGCGCGGCGTCGTCCACGATGACGACGACGGTGGCTAGATTCGTTGTTGTAATAATGATTGTCTGTCAGTGGAATGTCACTGCGAACGCGAATCTGTTCGTGTCACACAAGGAAACCACGAACCGAGTGGGAATCATTTGCTCTCGACATCAGCAGCCCTCCGAGTTAAGCGAGTGCCTCATCCACCACCCTTTTACACTACTACTACTTCCTCTCTCGATCGACCATCCGTGTCCTTATCTCGTGGGATGCTTGTTGTGGCGTCACCGTCGGAGACGGCGGTTTTCGCACGTCGAATCGCTCTCAAAGTTGCGTAATACTCCTCTGCTGACGAGACGGCGAAGGAATAATGTCCGCCTCCCTCGTCTTTTTTATGTTCTACACGACAGCTGAAGGGAAATTAATTCTCAGCCTTCGGTCGCAGTCGCGTGACGAGTGAGCTACTGCGTACGAGGTTCGCCAGCGAGATCTTGCTTTGTCTAGCTTCACAAATTGTCGATGTTTGTTCAGACAGACAATCGTCTGCCTCGCGGGGCTGTGCCGTAGGGAAATTTGTCATTCCTAGACATGGAGCGTTTTCACGCAGACTGTGTATCTATCGATGTTCGATCGTTCACGTCCCCTCCGTCAGCTACGCGGCCCGATCTCGTCTCTGACCTAGAAATCCTTGTGTGTTTAGACGGCTGCCACAGACAGTAATAGTGCGACGGAGCTGATTGTTGAATCGAGGTCAAGAGTCTCATATCCGTTCGCTTGAAGCTCCTCGCTCATATTTTCCTCGCAAGCCGAGGAAGCTAAGGTCTCCGTTAGCTCGCGGGACGGTGGACGACCACGAACCGATGATAATATCACTCGCCTTGAAGTACTCATTCTCTACTCGGGAATTAACTACGGGGAAGGAGCCCTCTCTCCCTAGTTTGACGCGCGAGACCGCTAAATCGGCTAGACCAGTTTGTCCCCCTTCTGCGATTCGAAGAGAATTAATTAATTGGTATGAATGATTTGGGATTCCAGGAACTGTCGAAATGGAAGAAGTGAGGATCTCTCCGAACGGACACCTCCAAATCAGATTCCGCAGCCTCGCTTTCCTCTCCGGACCAGGAAGACTCGTATTGAACAAGAACCATGGTGAGTGAAGCGCCGAGAGAGATGAGAGAGATCAGACCGACCGTCCATATTACTTAAAGCGAGTCGGCTGAATGATCGAAACGCGTCTCCCCACAGATGACTGGAACTCGACTTTGATAACAGCCGATTCGGCGACATCTCAGCCTCGAATCACACTGAAAATTCAACTACAACGGAGCCTCTCATCTACACAACTCGAATGGTTAATTGAATCTGTCGAAATGGTGAGTGAACGGTCGTTCCGAGGCCCAAAAGAGAAAGTCCAGAATTCGCTCAGAAAACCCTCAGATTGGGCCGGCGGGAGGAACGTGAATGTGCAAAGTTCGGAAAGGATCTCCCCGTGCTCGCCCCTGCATTCGATTCAATTAATCAACGACTTGCTCCCATGCCGTAGGTTTCGCGATTCCGGGGGAACGTCAGCTTCACCTTGCACCCTTGTGTCTACGTTAAGAACTCGATAGACGAGTGCCACGATGCCGAAATTCAGCGCTCCTTGGACTTCTCATTCCCGGTTAGTAGAATCCCGGGACCCTTCGTGATTTGCTACGGCTGGCCAGAAATGTGATCTTTGGACCGTGATACGAAAATTAAAACGTTTCACGAACCGATATGCGCTCCCCGCGCCCCGCGGCTAGTACTGGGAGGCTCTTGTGTAATGGTCTTTCGTCGATCTTCCAGATCCACATAGAGGCTCCGAAGAAATCGGAGGGAACGACCTACTTATTGAGGAGCGAATTGTCGCTGACTCGCGACAAATCCAGCTGGATCGAGAACGTGCGATCTGAGCATAGCTCAGAGGGGGGTTCTGGAGACACGTTCGTTGAAGGTAACGTCAGTCTAATTCTCCCTGCGGTGTTAGTTTCTGTCAGTGGAGTCTCAAAAGCCTTAGCTTGGAGAGTCTCTCGCACCTCGAGTCCATTCAATTCAATTGAGGAGGAATCAAGGACTCAGGGTCCGAATGAAATCTGTGCTGCAGGCGATCTTGTTTACGGAAAGGTTCGGGCCTTCTTCGAGGGCAACGGAGCTGCCGTCTTCCAAGCGAACATCGAACGATGTTATCTCTGCTCTTCGGACAAACCAATGCCCCAAGAGTCCCCCGACGCGAAAGAACAGCCGTGTGCGGATCATACCCAGATGAACTGTCTCCTGAAAATCTTGGTAAGACCTTCAGAATTTCGCTGATCTTCTCCGCGGAAGAGGAGATCCTTAACTGCTTGTCTTCGGGAAAGAACAGTTGAGCATGCCTGACATTCGATTTCCCACAGGATTTCCAAGATCCCTACTCGGTGGATACCCAGCTCCAGGGGCAGGCCTTCAACGCGGTCATGATGTCCCAAGACCCGACGTCTTTCGATCCTGAAGTCCTGGAAGCTGTCCGAGATGACCAGAAAGCCGATGGATTCTTATTCCAGAGCGATCCCCTTTTCGCCTTTCAGAGAGATTCAGAAAACATCACTTTCTGGACCGTTCATTGCATCTTCACGCTATCAGCCGAATCGTTGAGGGGGTGAGTCCGAATTGCGGCTGCTCGCGGGGGATGCGCGCAGAGTCGCCGCTAGTCAGTCCCGAAATAATTTGATTTCAGCTGAAATTGAAATATTTTTGAAGCTTAGCTCTTGTGTTGATGGGAGGCTGAGAACAAATTCATCGATTTCCAGAGCACGAGAACGTCGGAGCGTGTCCTTCCCCTTGATGCCAGACTCCGAGGAATTTCGTGAGGGCTCTGCGTCCCTGAAACTGCAAGGGACGTCATCGAGCGCTCTGGCCGGATCACAGAGACTCGCGCATTTCATCGCTTGGTTGTCGCATTCGAGTTCGAAGGTGCCTCTCTTTCTCCTGTCAGGATCAATCGTGTGCCTTGCATTGCTCCTGTTGATCCTGAGTCTCGTCAAATTCGGTCGGCGTACGCCGCGGTATCAACAAGTGAAAACCTCTACTACGTCTAACAACAATCAGGTTCGAGTCATGCCTCGATGCTTCTGATCAATCTGAGCACCGTAGGACCAATCCATTCCGACTTGTATAATCATTGTTCTACCGTCATTCCCGATGATATAAGCTCATTTGAATCATTTCATCTGGGATGACAGATTCCTAACATGGTGTCGGATTTTCGCAGATCGTGACGATGCACGTATTCCCAACGAACACAACGTCGAAGGACAAACTCGGATCTCAGGAGAAAATCGTCTATCCCAGACTCGCGGAGCCAGATGCGTTCTAGTCAATGATCCTTCGATTCAATATTTAGGAGAGGAAATACTCCAGAGGACCTGTGGCATGAATTGTACATAGACATTCACATTTGTATATATAATTCATCGACGGAAGGTAAATAGTGTACATAAAATTCGAATGTTTCGAGTGGAATGAGCGTGGACGGAAGTTGCACGGACGGGAGAAGAAAGTACGGAATAAATCAGAGACAAGGATTCTGAATGCGTCGGCCATAATTTCTCAAACTGCCTCAAGGGATCACTGATAGGATTAATGACACTCATTTTCGGGTGGAGATCGCGTAAAGAGTCCGGCTAGTGCGATGCAGTTCAGCGTGACCTTACTCATCGCAAAGGAATCGCTGCTACCCTCACCGCCAGCCGAGGGTCAGGCCTGCTCCTGACGGGACGTAGGAGGCTAGAAGCACGGTCAGACTAAAAGAGAAATCGCAGAACTCGAAAATCAGACGGCTCCGGGGAAAACGGAACGGCATCATCACGAATCGTTGCTGGTCAGAGAGAGGAAGCAACATTCGAGAGAGCAGGAGTTTTTGAGCAACAGTCGCGGGCGGGATGAGAACGAGTCGGAGATCGAGAAGATGATAAGTCGTTTTTCGGTCCAGACATTCACCTTTATGGACGACTTGAGGGATCTGCGATAGATCTCGGAATTTTCGTTCCTTCCCTCTTTCAGTAAGAGGTAACAAGTCAGTAGAGGACTCCCACGCGTTTCAGCAGACTTCAGCAGGGGATTATTCGCCTGATTGAGAAAAACCACCGACATGGCTCCCTGAAAACAGCGGAAATGCGGACCTCATTCGCCTGCTTCCATTTTCCGTTCCGTATGAAATCCCGTCGAGGCAGACACTCCCGGCTCTTGAATGGTAAACGGTCCATGAAAACTACTCCCACCTTAATGTCCGTTCCAGCATTATGGACATAAGTCCGAGGTCCTGCTTCACTGTGGTTTTTTTTACTGGGAAAGGCGTCGAAAGAGAGAGAGAGAGCTTTGGACATGGACTGATCGGCAACGCTGTGTTTCTACGGTTCTTGTGGTGTAGTGGTTATCACATCCGCCTAACACGCGGAAGGTCCCAGGTTCGATCCCTGGCAGGAACATTGCTTTTGTTCTTGCTGCTACTTTAAGCCCCCACTCATCATCCAATTAATCATCAAATTTTAGCGGGCCATCACAAAGCACGCCGTGAGCCCAGAGCTCGTACGACTGCGAAACGATATGAATAGACTCAGGGTAGCGTCATACATTGGAAGGTGCGGAGGTTGGGAGTCCGGGACAGATTTTCTAGTCAGCAGAGTTAATTTTATTCCAACTTCATTGCAGCACTGGCGGCTTCTCTCGTCACGGGACACACTTCGCCGACAGAAATTGTTTATGCTCCCTCGTTATCGAGCGAAAATCCAGCGAGAAATCTCGCTCAGCACAAATATATTGTAGGTTACATGGGGCGTTCGCAAAGACTCCGTAAAGCATTTGCTGATCATCGCAAGTTTGAGGACCGCTCCGACTTGGTCGAATAGAAAACCTCTGATCGAACCCGACCGAGTGTCAGTCTGCTCTCAACAAAACGCATTGACTCAAATATTTTGGTCGCGAGGCTCATGAATTGTTCTTACCAGAAAGAAGAGGAGTAGTTCACGGTCTATATTCTATATCGCTGTCTCCTCCCGAATACGGACTTTTCCCCTCAGGATGTTTGCTGAGGATGACCTTCCCACTCATCGATGCTGCGAGTGGCTCGTAAATGTAAGTTGGTCACCGACTCGAGGTTGTGTCGCTCCGCTGCGTGCTTTTATGGCGCTGAACTAGTATATCAGTAGTCGAAATTACTTTCGGTGATTCTCACAACAAGACTGTCGCCGATCATCCAAGATATATTATGCTCATTTAGCCTCTCTTCGAACGCACGAGAAGCAAAGAGATTCGAATTCCTAGACCGCATGAGAGCTGACTGATTAATATTCACATTTGTGAGTTATTCAACGATTGACACATTGCGCACAACTGATTGTCGAAATCACACTGGATAAGGGACTCCAATCCAAAATGAGAAGATCTGAATGATCCTCATGGAATGAGCGAGTCTTCCCCATGCTCAGAGCACTGGCGCATCGAAGAACTACTCGGATTCCCTCAGAGGTGCGTGAGAAATTCGCGTTCGGATTCCGCGTCGATCCTATCCAATCCAAGAAGCTTCTCCGGATGCGTGAGGCTATGAATTTCCCACCTGTGCCGGTCCCGAGCCCGCCTGCTAGCCGAATAATACTTGAGTTATCCCATGCCGTCATCTTGGTGAGAGCCCCTGCTTATCTCAGCTGTTTTCGAATCTGGCGCGTCAGCCGAGGAGAACAAGATCCACTGTTCGTTGATATCGATGCGCCCTTGCCCGAACGAACGTATAGTGAATTTGTGTGGTGTTATTTACGTTTAGTGTGTGTGTGTGTTGCTGTTGTGGTTGATTTTCGTCGTGCTGCACTTCGAGAGGTGGATCTTGAAACTGTGTGTTGAAATAAAACGCAGGAATCGCGGTTTCGGGGAAATCATCGCGGCTGTCGTCGACGAGTGTAGCTGCTAAAGTCATGAGCTGACCGCTCGGACTGAGGCCCCATCGAATGTCTACTTGGGGTGATAGAACAACCACCATCACCACCAGAAATCCTTCGAGGGCAGGCAACATCAGCAGACAAACAGACGAGCAAACAACCTTACCAGTAACCAGGAGATCGCGAGTTTTCGGGCTGCGTACACGAACGCGAGATCACGAACGAAAAGAGGACACGCAGCTAGCTCTCGGCCAAGTCGGAATGGAACGACTGTTAAACACGACTTGACCACGAACAATTCGAGCAGTATGTGTCGGCGGTGGTAAGCTGGCCATAGCCTTACGATTTGGGTAGGCAGGCGGGCAGCGGTCAGGCTGTCGGCAACAGTGTCAACTCCATCGAAGTTTCGTCGCAGGGGGGCGGAAAAGATTTCATTGATCAGTTCCAATGGACCCCAGCGCAGTGATAACCCAGGTGCAAAGGGACGAGGAGGCCCTGAGTACGTTCCCACCGCCGACGGTCGCCACGAAAGGTAAGCGAACATGAATTTCTGTACGTTTCTCGACCATGCTCTTCGTCATCCGTGCCACTCCCTCCCTCTCTATTTTGGTTTAGTGACCAAGTGATGAGCAATAAAAGCGTGTTGTGCAACGCGACTGATTCCAACGTCCGGCTGTAAGGGACCGATACCATTGCTTGTGAGTCTCCGCCTGGCAAGCGATTAGAGAAGCACAGGAGTCCCCATACCGAGGTCAACGTTGTCGAACGAGCTCACCATGATGGGAAAACAGTGTTCTGAAGCCAATGAAAACACGGACATGAGAGAAGAGGGTGATCACGCCGACCCTGTGATCAGAGATTACCCGGATGATGAGATGGGGTGATAATGACGGGCAGGCTCAGACCTCGCGCGTCACGTGCTCTGCATCTTCGCAGTTTTCCCCGGCTCCTAAATCGCCCCCAGATCAGAGGGATACCTGTGAGAAATGCAACTTCTCGACACCGGTGATGACGTGCCTCGGCTCGTTTCGCGCAAGTTTTCGGAGGCTCGGGACATCTGTTCGGGCTGCAACGACCCGCATGAGATCCCGGAAGTCGACTTTCCGTACACTCTCTCAGGAGGGGTCTTATCCTCGTGACAATAGACCCGCTCTTTCCGAAAAAGACCCTCAGCGACTTCCTGAGAAATCCGACTCGTGAAGTCATCCTCTCAAGCTTCAGGAATCAATTCGTCCTGATAGTACGTCTCCTATCGCGGGGAGCGCTCCGCGAAATATTCAGAGCGCGGAATTGCGGGTTGAAGTCCGGACCTCATCTTCGAGTATGGCAGGTACCAAATCTCTGTCTGCAGTGGAGGTTGCTCCACGTGAAAGCTGTAACTCTACGTGGAAATTGGTCGTTCCCTCCCGATAAGACATTTTGACCACCCGGTCGGCCCTTTGGTGAGTCGGCTATTCGGCTGCTTGCTTTCTCGCGTGGACTATGTTGCAAACCAAGCATCGTACGGCGTGACTCTCGGCCGGCACAGATTTGCGAGCGAGGTCATAGAGACGCGGCTCGGCAGGCTACACGCTGCTACATCTTCTTCCTCGTCCCGCCCTCCGGTCGCTTCTCATTGTAGTTGTGCGAACAGCATATACAATCTTTGACGCATTGGTCATTCCAAAGTCAGGGCGTCCAAGAATCCCATCTACGGTTCACGTGGACGCTGTGGGTTTCCCTGAGGGATTCGACATGATGCTCGCCGCGAAAATCATTTTGAATATCGGCTGCGCAGTATTCTTATCGATCGAGCGCGCCAATGTACGCGTTTCGCCCTGCCTACGGTCCGACTGTCAATCCAGTTCTCCCGTTCGTCTGGTCGAAGGAAATGTGTGACGGGTGACGTGTTCCTTTTCCGGTAGCAGGAATCAAGCTCTCCAGCGGTCGGTCTGTGGTCGACCTCCTACACTGCTGAGGTAAACGAGTCGAATCCACTTGGCGAATCGATCGCCAGGGAGATCAGATGATTTTCAATCGTGCAAACGACGGGAAAACTTTTTATCTCTCGGGGAATCCCCGCCTGAGGAGACGCCCATGAGTGTAGCATATCCTAACCGCCAAAGCGAGGGCGACATTCGACCGGAGAGTCTAGCGGTTACGATGAAACGTTTTCGAGGTTACTGTGGTGGATAATAACAATCATTGATTCGATACTCGAGACCGGATGAATAATTCAGTTGATCAACCAGCGTTCGTGCTGTCATTCTCACGGTCGTGAGTCATTCGTGGGGCAAGACATCTTCAAATTGAGAGAGCAGCGTCAAAAGAAGGAAACAAATGGAGACAGTCCAGCCATCATGGAGCATCCTCTGCTATTTGAAGCTTCGTTGGCGCGCTGTCGATAGAGCCAAGATGGACTTTTCACTCCGTCACTTCCTTTTTCTTATCGCGCCTCACTCAGATAAGCACGGATCGATTATGCGATGCGGGATGTCTCGAAGAAGCTGCGCTAATCTTTCACTCGACCTGATCGGGGTGCCGGTGATGATAGGGGATCGAAGTCTTCGGGATCGATATAAACTTTGGGAGGCAAGTTTTCTGGCCCTGGAGCATCAAATGATGTTGCTCTGAGCGCTTTCATCCATTGTATAGTCGAAAAAGTGTTTTCCGTTGAGGTTTGTTCCGTGCTCGGAGATTCGGATCGAGCTCACCCGTTCAAATGAGATTTCGTGAACGGAACTTCCGATTCTTCCCTGTTATATCGTGCCTCGTGCCCCTTAGATCTCCGACTCGAAATCTCGTATCCCCTCAAAGCTTCCATAGTCACTGAATTTCGCCGTGGAACCACGGTGTAGAAGGATCCACCAAGAGCATTGGAGGCATCCGAGAACAGCGGACAATTATCCATCTAAGTCATAACCTAATCCTCTCCGTGATCGCGGGGCGTTTTCTATACCCTTCCAAGCCTTCCTCCCTTGCGGACTTCTCGTTCGGTCGATTGATGCTCCGCAAAACGTGGAATAACGAAGGACGCTGTTCGTTTCCGTTAATTCCGCCTATTGATTTTTTCCGCACCTGGCAATCCATTTTCATCATAGGAGTTTTTCGGACTGTCAGGGCCGCCCTGTCAGGGAAACTTATTGGGACTGCAGAATACCGGGAATTGGATCCAGGGAGGAGCCCGAATGATAGGTTACATATGGACGAAGTCGTCGAGATTATTCCAATCCTCGATCCATCCCTCGAAGTTCTCATTCAGGGAAATCGAGGGTATTTATTTCCGTCGATTGGCACAACGTCGAATCGCCGCGTATTTGTCAGACTTTGGAACCTATTGATTGGGTAATCTGCGTCGGCTTCACTGCACGAGTCTCCAATTTTTCTCCTAATCGTGACGCATTGCGAGTGACCCGCTGAGCCTCTCCTTCCTAATGTTCTCTGTCCCCATCGTCAAAGATTCTCAATCGGTATCGTTTCTAGATGCTTCATTCGTCTAAATTGTTTGAAAATCACGAAGCCGTGAGCTGGCTTTCCCATTCTCAGTCCGCTCCAAGCTTCTTCTACATATATGAGCCCGGACCTGCCTGCCTTGTGCTGGAGAAGATCGAGCCGCCGAGGAAGAATTCCTCGAGAGAAAATTCCGGGGACCTGGTTCGCCGTAGAAATTCTCTACGCCTCCCGGATGTTCTTGATATCGGCTTGCGGTGGACACGAACCGATCTTTCCAAGACACTTGGCTCTTCAGAGTTCGGTGATATGCCCACACAGCCATCCAAAACGGTTCTGTCTGCGTCGAATCGGCAGACCAAAGCTACTTGGTGGTGGAGTGATAGGAGGAAAGTCACGGCTCGCGCGTAAAATGGACCATTTTTCTGGATATCCAGCGGTTCCGTGCAGGATTCGGAGAGTGTTCAATGGCAGCCGGGGGCTCCTATCTCCTACGAAATCAGTTTCCGCTTCCCATGCGTCTAAGTCATCCGATCATGCGTTCTTTGACAATCGGAACGCATTTCCAACTATCTCATGGGAAGTTGACGATTTGTTGGTGATTCGGAGCAGCCTGAAATATTCCAAAGCTCCAGACTAGCGAATATGGATTCGAGGGCCATTCATGAATTCATGGAGCCGCAATGCTCCATTCTTACGGGAGCGCGCAGAAGAAGAGGGTGGGCGTGCCGGTCTACGGCGAGGTGACCCAGCTGGATTTGCTGGTTTAAAGAACGGAGTAAAATTCTCGTTCGGATTCACTCGATTTAGTCTCGCCGCATACGCGGCCTAGGACAGTCCAGCTGGTATCCCCTCGGGGAGAAATGTCCACCCTCAATTATGTTATTATACTTCTCGGCCGATAACCAATCAATTCGATTTTCACGTCTGACGGGCGGGGTAATGAACAGCTTGCTCGGTCACCAGACAAATATTCCGCCCGGTATTTCGGCTGACGTCCAGAGCAACGTGCCGTGTCGTGAACCGTGGGGCTGACTGACCGTCACTCCAGCCCCTGGAGGGAGTGAATAGCAATGATATAAGCCTTCAGTCAATTCTAGCCAATCAGTGGCATTCCAGACGGGTGAGCTTGTAAACAGATCAGTAGTCAGAGCGAGTAAGTAGCCAATCGCCTTCAGACTGAATGGGAGTCTCGGAGCGGTGCTCGCTCCACACGCGATTAATGGTCGTGTTTCCTCTCGCTGACGCTGAGACTTTTTCGGCGTGTTCAATTTTTTTCGTGACGCCGCTGCAGCGCTCCTTTACTCCTGACGAGAAACGGGATGAGTCATTCAGGCCCATGAAAATCGATACACAAATCCTGGAGGGCTGAGACGGTGCTCTTTGTGGCAGCCTCCCACCGATGACACCGCTGCTGATTTCGATGCACTTCAATTGTCAACAATTCCCAGAAGTGCAATATTTGTGACCTCTAGTCTCGGAAGATAACTATTCCACGATAGCGTACATCCCTTATCCTTCGTGATGCTTCTCATTCAGTGTCGGATGATTGAATATCCCTTCTCCGCGCGAATAATCGCGTATGAAAATCACGCTACTCTAACGTTCCACCGTGACTTTGGCGTTGTAGCATCTTGGGGATTCCATTCGCGATTTTCCTTTTTAGACAAATTCATTGTTTCGGTTCCACGAGCCCACGTGGAATTGAGATGATGCTGTGCGTGAAGAGCCCGTCGCGTTTATGTAAGTCCTCCGGACTGGACTCGATGCTATTGATGTTGCCTTCTTGCGGTGGAAGCAATTTCTCGAAGTCATTCCGCCTCGATCAGACGGCGAAAACTTTGCTGCGGACTGCGGCATATCGGTACAGTTGTGCGAAGCGACTAGCGAGTGAGAGAGCTGTATCGCGAGTGAGTGTGAAAGACCCGCTGGTTGGGAGAATAGTCGACATGCGAGGTCTTTCTGATGACGGAATGCTGCAGGCTTCGGAATGACCTTGGTTTGCTCCCTTTTCTCTATGCTGCCGCCGAAGCTCCAGGGAAAGATGAATTGTTTGTTCTGACTTCGTCCGCAGCAATGGTGACGCCGCCTGGAATGGAACGTTCCTGCTTGTCCTCGAGATTAATCGACGAATTCCTAATCTGGGAACATCCTCGCCCTGCCATCGAGTTCTCTCTATGAATCGAACGTTTTTCTGAGCTCTTTGTAACTTTCCGAGCGGATATCTCGAAGCAAATCGAACGACTCTTGAGTCGTATCGGGAATTGGCATGAAATCCAGAAGCGAGGATATCTGAGGCGAACGCCGCGTAGCTGTGATAGATGACCGTTTCCGACGAGCTCCTCGACGGTCAGTCGAGAATGTTGGATCAGCGAGAAGCGCTGTTGATGAAGAGGAAGATGAACGGCGCCATAGACAAACGCTTAAGCTGTCTCGTTAATTACTTTGACACTCTAAATGCGTGAAACTCCTGTTCCACAATCTCGTGGAATCCCCGCTTCCCATCTCGAAGCATGCAAGCAGCGAAGTTTGACGTGATTTGCGGTCAGAATGATCATGCTATCGGAATCAGGGTGTGACTCATACCATAATTTCCTGATGCATGATACGAACGATCACGAGTCGCGATTGAAATGATCGGGAACCGATTCTTCGCCATTCTCCTCAGATCAGCCCATTATTTGGTATCAAAGACGGGTGATCCACGTAGTCTTGGGCAAATCGTCGCGAGCTCCCCTGGTCATTCGAAGTTTCCAGTCAACAGGAATTCCGTGGGAGGAATGCTCCCCGTTGCCGAGCAAGCTCACTCGATCACTTCGTTCCTGAAATGAGTCAGAGATCACGCTTCTGAAAGTTCGGTCGAGATTTCTCTGACAGTGAGTCTTTCTGAAATGTTCACGGAACGTGGGAATCCGGAGCAATATCGGGTTGGTCCATCACCGAGGCATGCGAGGCTAAGGCTTATTGCCACGCTCATGATCGTTTTGATCTATCTGCTCGGAGTGAAGACGCCAGATTTGTTTACACGGAACCTTGCGTGTGTGTGTTTGGTTACACGGCCCGAACGATCATAGGGTGTCAATGAGAGTCACCGAGCCGAACAGAAGCTTTCGAGGCATCCTCGAGCTGACGATATAATTGTTGAAAAGTGAGATTCCAGACCACCTCGCACCGGCTCCGAGCGGAGTCTGGTTGGTGGCTTCAGGCTGCTGGAAATTTTGCTCCCGCGGGAGAAATTCAGCTTCTCGATGGCTCTACTGACCGATACATTCGGAATCTTCCACTCTCGAGCGATTGACTCCGACGGGATGGGCGATATAAGCTGACAGAGATCATACCTAATTCTTCTGCATCTCTCATCTGCCAAAGGATGATTCACTTAAGAGTTTCGGATATCCAGCTCGGAGATTCGCTTAGAAGCTCCGATTATATAACCGGGTCGACAGACTTGATCGAGTTCATCTGCTCCATTCATCTGATTCCTTCAAAAAAAACAGGAGGGATTTCTGCATTCTCTAGCGCACTCACTAACCTCATATCTGTTTTCTTACAGCCCCAAAACCCCGTAAGCGCGGCCTGCTCCACAGTCTGTTATGTTGTTGGCGACGGAGACCGCACGGCGGCCTTGGCCGACACACAAACAGCGATCAAATAGACCAGGGTGCGCATGACGCCCAACAGCACAATCACGTCGGCGGGAACAGTGGACAAGCGGATGGATCAAACAAGGTAAAGACGAAACTCAGAGTAAAGACACGGGAGTCCATCAGAGCTCCGGAGGGATAGAAATCGGTGCACAGAGAATCGGAAATCACTAGAATCCTCAATCTCGTCATCCGCCGAGTTCTATGTATTCCTTTCTCGAGCGCCGGTGGCATCACGACCGAAATAAGTGATCAGTGGGGCTATTTCTTGGCTCGAGGAGCCTATGTCCCTCCTCTTTTTGGACTTCGGGGGGTTTAGCATATGTAGATCTCGATTGATGCGTTCTATGGTGCGAATCATGTGACACATCGATTACCTTGCCCGATCGGGGAGGCATGGGAGTTGGAGGGGCTCCGTGATGTATCCGAGCCATGCGAGCAGGAGACGTTGCGGTTGCTTTCTGTATCACGGAGAGAGTTTGGGAGCATTTCTGATCCGTTTCAGGAGGCGCAACCAGTCGCTTGCCCTAATGAATTGTTGAGGGTGTCGTCAACCTCTTGGCTAGCCATCACGGCCTACACCGAGAACCGGGTACTTTTCCGGATTCGCTTCTAAACGCCAGAAAGCCATCAGGAGCAAAGTTGAATCGTAGTCCTGCCCTAGAGCGACATCCCTTGCTTAAGTCATGAGGTCCATCAATTCGTCAATCGAGCGTCGATGGCCTTGTAGAATGATAAGAAAAGACCTCTGTGGAAGCTTGGATGGAAGTCACCACTGGTCGATTCGCTGTCTCATTTAGCCGCACTTCGGGCACGAAGAGTACCGACTTCGGTACTCGAGGTATCCATGCGTGGCAGACCTGTCGAAAGAGCATGGGCATCACCTGAGTGTCCGGGTCGGTGACAGCTCAACTCAAGACACTTTCCTCCCGAATTCGTATCCAACTCAATGGAGGATCGTGCCGGAGGATGGATATGGATTCCGCAAGTCCCTGCTTCGCATCTCATTCTCGGAGTCTTGAGTGAGAATTTATTGCTGCGAGCTGTCAGGAGTCCCCGTCGGGCGACGAGCGACCTTTAGAGAACGGAAGAATCTTGCTGAATTTTCCGTCGATTCCTCGGACAGACTCGACAATGCTTTAATCTTTTTCTTATTTCCAGCTGAGTCTACTGTCGACGCCTCGACCAGCGGACCAGGGCAAAATATGTTTAGTGATTGACCTCGACGAAACGTTAGTGCATTCGTCGTTCAAGCCAGTGAGCAATCCTGACTTTGTTGTACCTGTTGAAATTGAAGGATCCGTACATCAGGTGAGCATCTGGCCCGTACTCATGTTCCCCCATGCATATGCCTTTCATCCCGAGCTCAGATCTTGTCGTTCTCAGTCGTCTTGGAGATATTGATAACTTTTCTCGTCTTTAAAGGTGTACGTCTTGAAACGTCCATATGTTGACGAATTCCTCGAGAAAGTAGGCTCGTTATACGAATGTGTTCTGTTTACTGCCTCGCTCTCAAAGTACGCGGATCCCGTCGCTGATCTTTTGGACAAATGGGGAGTCTTCAGGTGAGATGGAGATTACCGTCCGACGCTCTGGATATACATATGATATATAGGAGGAGAGGTGCTCCTTGCTTCCGAGGTCGTCCGACCGCATTGACTGTCGGGATGCTTCTTGTACGGTAACGGTACCCCTCCTTATACTCTGATCAATTAAAAATTCCCCCCGAATAAGTAAGTTGTATCGTTTGATTCGGCCTGCGGTCTGATCGTCTCCATCATTGTGGAAGACCATGGGGATTTTCGCTCGCGTGCGTCGACCAAGTTATTGCTTTCGCTGGAAGTTGTTTGATCTCTCCCGAAGCCAGGCTAGAACCAGCTTGTTCGGTAGCTCAAGATGTTCCGTGAGGAGTGAGCATTCGGAGCACAAGGAGTCGCAGCATCACTCACCCCATGTCTATCAGAAACTCATTTGGAAGACTGATTTGTGAGGTTTCTCTCCAACTGATTCGCTCCATTCATTATTGGTTGACCTGGAACTGGCTCGGAAGATTCTGTACGGAGAGATCGTTTATTCGCCTCGGGTGATCCGGAACGGCTTGAGCGATTTCCGGGAAGTGACCTGGAGAATTTTGAACTTTCAGGGGACGTTTGTTCCGTGAGTCGTGCGCCTTCTACCGCGGTAACTACGTCAAAGATCTGAATCGCCTGGGCCGCGACGTTCATCGAGTTGTGATCATTGACAACTCACCGGCGAGTTACATGTTCCATCCTGATAACGCTGTAAGTATTGAGCCGGTCCCAACCACGAAGCTCGTCTCCGAGAGGTCTCGAGGGCGTCCGCGAGTCTGTCACCATTGATATGGAGTCATCTAGCTCGCAACTCATATTGTCATTCTTGCCCGGCTAACTTCGAAATTTCTGAAACTCCTGGTCGAGCTTCTCTTTGACGAAACCTTCCTGAAATTATAATATAGCTGCCTGAGCTCGCAGATTCATCAGATTTCGAAGTATCATTTCATTTGACGATTTGCAGATGCCCGTCGTTTCGTGGTTCGATGACATGACCGACACAGAACTTCGGGACCTCATCCCGTTCTTTGAAAAGATGGCGACGTCGCAAGATGTCTGCGGAGCTTTAAGGCAATACCAGCAACAACAGCAGCAGCAGCAACAGCAACAACAGCAGCAGCAACCTCAGCAGCAGCAGCCGCAACAACAACAGCAACCCATTCAGACTGCGCCCACGACACAAAAACCCAACGGAGCAACACCACCTCAATATTTTTAGGGCACAGAGCAATATTGATTGGGCTGACGTGGAACGTGTTCGTGGGCGTCTTCTCAGCCGGACGTCCTCTGCCACGGCCCGGCCAAAAAGCGACGTACTAATTTAAGATCGAATGACAGACCTGCAGTCGGTGCGTTGTTCCGAAACCAGCTGAGAGCTCGAACCAGTGGTCGAGTTCAATGTCAGGAAGACTGACGGACGCAGAGTAAGCAAAGTTATTTTCGCATAAAAAAGCTTCTGCGAGGGTCCCGGCGGGGATTTCTGGATGGCCATATCGACTCTGCATGGTCCGAGGGCGATCGAGGTCCCGTTCGATTGATCGAAACGTTGTTAGATGATTGTTGGATTTTCGATGCGTAAGCATAAGCAGACAGACGAATGGAGAGGATCGGCGATGAGCCTCTTCTTTGTGAACACGATCGACTTATAAATATATATAAATATAAATAGCAGTGAGGAAGTGGCGAATTGTGTTTTTGAAGCTGTAAAGAATCACAAGGAACAAAAATCACACCCACACAAACGTTGCCACGAACAGAGATCACAACGAATTTCTCTAAAGCAGAGCCGCGATCGGAAACTTTGTTTCGAAAAGTCAGGAGAAAATCCACAGCGTTCGGATACTCACCACGTGACCCAGAGCCTCACGAGAACAGTCCGAGCAGGATTCCGATTCGGGAAGATATCCGGAACATGACAAAATACAGAACAGGACAGGAACTTTTGCGGAAGCAGTCGACGACGGACACACTACAAACATATGTAATGCTTGGGTACATCCAATCATAATTATTATTATCATTATTACCATTTATATTATTATTTTATTCTAAATGAAAAGTAATAAAGCTCATACTAATTTTATTAAAAAGACAGGGATTTTTGTCTTCCTATGCGTCCGCCAATATCCTCTCGTCATGAATTTGATTCTCTGAATTTACCCCTTTCCTAGGGAAATACGATCTGTCCTTTTCAGCGTGCACAGAAGTGTTCCGATTGCGCTTTTTGGAATCTGTCGGTTTGGGGACCAGATATTTCAATAGATATACTCCGTCCCAGCAAACGAATCAACAATTCAAGGCATCAGAATTAACTCTAGTTTTGCTTCCAGATCCAGCGACTGATCACGTCCGCCTCCAAGACTCCGAACTGAACACTCGTCAGAATTTCCTCGGGCCACTCGCCCTCCCTCTCAGTCAGTCAGTGACACAAACGAAATCCTGTCTGTAGAATTATATCGTCAGCAGTAAAAGCCCTTTCGTTCGAGGTTCGACGGTACTTCTCATTCAAATCGGTCCGCGTTCGCTGTTATCGCCCCCTCCCGCTAGCCCGGATGTCTTTGCCATGTCGCGAGGTGCCCTTATTACTGTTGTCCTGCGATCTCGAACCCAGAGAGGTGATTGCCATCGCGGACGGGGCTCCAGGTCCGATCCGCGAGGTCTGCGAATCGTTCTTGCGACCGTTTCCAGGATTTTTGGCGGCTCAACCGTAGCCTTAGCTCCACTCGAGTGTCTCATGTCCAGGCAAAATCGATGCCTCAATGAACACGTTGCCCTTAGCGACTGGCAGGGAGACTCGGGAGCTACACCCAATACCCAATCGAGCACTCGATTCAAATAATAGTTTATATGCCCCGGAAGGGGAACGATTCTTGCCGCGCTCCGTTACACCAATCAATTTAACGAGATTGTACGAACATGCAGAAACGAGCGATTTCCTCGGTCAGGGAGCGCACATGTCGGAAGGATTCCACATGTCCGAGTGCGCTCTTCAGAACGCTCCAGCCGAGCTCGAGGGCCAGGAGGGCTTCTTCACCGAGTATCAAGATCGCAGAGGCCAGACTAGATACCGTTGTGCATTCTGCAGCTACGATTCTCATTTGAAATTTTGTGTAATCCGCCACGAACGCTCACATTTGGGCCTTAAACCTTTCCCTTGTCAGCAGTGTCATAAGCGATTTGCGAGAAAGGATGCTTTGAAAAGTCACGTAAATTCGTGTCACACAAAGAAAGCCACGAACAGAGGCCGTCGTGGCCGACCAAGGTTCAACCTTTAGCTCCGGAAAATTCAGGCCTGGGGAGTCGACGTCCGATGCGATTCGCCCATTCTGCGAAACAGTAGTCAGAACATCAAACGCGACGTGAGCTTGATCCTCATGCAGCAATCAAGGACAATGTGCTTTAATATATACTGTGCGGATTGTCTGAGTGTAAATATGAGCATGCAGCCGTGGTCTGCTCTTGGCTCAGGAGGAGCTTCCATGATCCTACGTTAAGGTATGGCGATTGTACATTTCTTCGGTCGCCAAAGAGCCATGTTGAGAAATATCTTTAATGCGCGAGAGGTCCCGAGCGCGCGTCGGAGAATATAAAATAAATTGCAATCGATGTTGAAGTCGATGATGTCCTCAGTGTTTGCTTTCCCTGAGCCGAAAGGCTCAACGCGTGTGTGTATCGACCCTACAGGCAAGATTATCGCCCTTGAGCCCTCAGAACATTATCCTTTGAATCGTCCTCGTGGCTCTGATGTCGAGCTATCCCATGGCTGATCTTCTTCCATAGAAGGAGCTCCGTACTCTCCGACAGATTTTTCTCCCAATTTACGGGACTTTTCGGAAAGTCTGCGATTACCTTGCGCGAAATACGAGACCTCGTGAGCTGTATAGTTACGGGGAGGAACTCTATTCTGCCTTCGCCAAGCTTCATTTATCATATTCTCCATTATATTCATTATTATATCTTCATTTATGTTCATTCTTCCTTCGATATAAGAACTCCTCGATAATATTTCCAACACCTAGTCCAACCGGACTGAGTGAATAAAAACGATTTGAGATAAAAACCATGGGAATCTCCTGAGATGCCATAATGTCTCAAGTGGCTTTCTCGCTCCGTCATCTGACTTCATGGATCTATGATTGTGCTTTGCAGACTTGTTGAAGTTCCCGCTGGATATCTCGTCCCTGGACTTCTATTCGCCGAACCTGTCGCCCGCCGGATCAGATCTGAACTTCAATGTATCGAAGCGAGTGTACTCCTGCCATTTCTGTCAATACACATCACCGCTGAGAACGAACGTAATGCGACACGAGAGACGACATACGGGAGAGAAACCCTACAAGTGCAGGTATTGCAACTTCCGTAGCGCGACGAAGTACAACTGTTTGACCCATGAGAAGAAACACCGCTCCCCGTTCGACAGCTGATGAGTAGACCAGAATCAACGGCTGACGGCCCGCGCCGATAGATTCTCGCCATTTCAAATGCACCCAGGTCACAGAGGACCCCCACGTCATACGACGTCGACTACGTATACTATAGAACAGGCATTATTTTTCCGCTGAGCAGCTTTTGCAAGTTCTCCTAGAATTCCGAAGGAACACTCAGAAACCGATTGTAGCTTCTCCTCGAGGTGATTTTCATAGAGGAACGATCGTCTCGGTCTCAAGCTATAGGCTCAAGCAATGGGTCACCTCTCGGCAGCAAGGATTTTGTTTATACTCGAACCGAGATAGCGACTCTTGAAGTCGCAACTTTTCCAGATTCCACTCAGTGATATACAGGGAGACTTCCATGCAGACAGCGGTTTAGTGTGTATTTGATTGCCAGCTCACGGGTCATGACGACTCGATCATCATTCGAATCCATTCTGAGAAAAATGGGTAGCCATATAATTATTATGATCAGTATAGGTCCGATTAGATTTGATTCAGTATCAGTCTGATTGTTTACTCTAGCAAGCGAATGAGAGCGAGTAGGAACTAGTCTGTTTGATGCCGGAAAGCAAGACTCATGGCCCCTAATCCTCAAAACAGGTCACTTGTGAACGATGTACACTTCTAGGCTATATACCGCTAACCACCGAACAAAGGATGTATATGTACAAAAGAACCAAATAAGTTTATATATTGAAATTGTTGATACGAAGTCCGGCTTGCGTTTTCAATCTATTCGATAAGGCGAATCTCCTCGATCAGGGGAAGGAGCGGACATTCGGTGCGCGGGAGAAGAAGCCCTTCGAAACGTCGGGCTAACCCAAAATGAATAATATCGAGCCAGATGCGGGTTCCGAAGCCGACGGTATACTCTGTCGTCTCGCGCACATGAATCTGCGACGTAATTAGTCCAACTTATTGGAAGGGGCTCAGCCACCATGGACCCACGCGGCGGTGAGCCTTGCTAACCCAGCGGTCTCCAGGTGCGACCCGCGCTCCCTCGCGGATTCGGCTCCACATGGAGAGACCGCAATCAGAAACCGCGGTTCCTCTGTTTTGAGGTTCTTTGCAAGTACCCGTGTACCCGGAGGTCTTCAAAAATAGAAGCTGATTTTATGCATTCGAGAGGATTCTCAACACGGATTGCAGCGATTTCCGAAGATTCGAAGCTTCCCGAATATTCAAAGCTTTCCGGAGGTTCGAAAATGTGTCTCGCAGAGATTATTCTGGGTACCTCCGAGACAGCCAACGTCAATGGTTTGACGGCCTCTTGAGTCTGGAGCCGGTCGAGCTGGCGCTTCTTAACGAAGGACCTGCGCGAATAAGCATGCGAACCCGAACGAAAAAAGAACGATTAGTCGATGGAACACTGTGGCAAAACCGGTGTACACAAACAAACGCGCGGCTTTTAGAGCGGGCCCGGGGAATTCCGAGCTTATCTCTCGGATAAACGCATCGCATTGTCATGGCAGACACGTTCCCTAGATCGCCCGGAGTTCTCCATTTTCAGAGAGTTTCTTTCGGCATGGGATGAAGAAGCATCTTTTTGCCCGAGGAGTGTTCCGAAAGATACCGTGAATGTCGCATGAGAAGTTGTTCGCTCTGTCGACAGACGTTCCCGATAGCAGATTGTGCTCGAGAATTTTTTCGTATGCCCCTCCATCAGAACGAAAATTAGCCAGCTTTCGCCACCTCGAGCCGACCGGGGAAATCAACGATGATTGATCTGAGAGAGTGCCTCAGAAGCGTCATTCCAATCCTATCCAAATTCCAGTCGTTCCCATCTGCTCCCAATTTCAGTCATCCTCATCTTCTCCCAGTTCCAGTCGTTTCAATGTTTGATGATATTCGATGCTTCGAACCATCGGAGCATTTCGTGGCGACTCTGAGGGATTTCCACTTTCGCGTCGCGTTTAATGACCTCTCACGAGGCATTCTGGCTACGGATTGAACTCGTCCCGATACGATCCGGAGCGGGTAGACCGCCGGTCGAGAAAGACCGAAGTATATGCAGCTGTTCTTTAAAAGGATTGTGCGGAGCTCTACCAAGAGGAGAACGGCAGAAGACGAGTCTTCAACTCTTCAAAACGGTCATCAACCGATAGTGCTCTTCAAGGTCGAATGGAACGCGCGAGTTTCACATGCATCTCGTCGAAGATGTCCGAGGGCGAGTGGAAACTGGAAACACGGAGTGAGGGCAGACCCTCTCACAGCATAAAATGCCTTTGACAACCCCTCGAGCAGCAGAGCATCGGTCCGCGGAGTTCTTCAGATTCCAAATCCAGTGAGATCGACAGGATGGCCTTCCGTTTCGTTGTTGTTGCCGCCGTGGCTGCCTTGTCGCACGCTGCCGTCATTCCCACCATTGGAAGCTCCTCATTCTCCTACGATGCAGCTCCCGCCTACAGCACCTACTCGTCTTCCTCGGTGTTGAAGACCATCTCGGCGGCTCCCACTGCTTACTCCTACTCCGCGCCCGCTTACGCCGTCGCCGCTCCCGCTACCACCGTCGTTAAGACCGTCGCAGCTGCCCCGGCCGCTTCCATCGCCTACGCTGCCCCTGTTACCTCTTCAGTCTCTTACGCTGCCCCTGTCTCCTCTTCAGTCTCTTACGCTGCCCCTGTCACCTCTTCAGTCTCTTACGCTGCCCCTGCAGCCACTTCCTCAATCTCCTACGCCGCTCCCGCTCCCATCGTCAAGTCGGTGAGCGTAGCTCAACCCGCAGTCGCTGTCGCAGCCGCTCCCAAGACCCACACTCTGACGACTGAGGCCGGTCGATCCCACATCCGCATCGAGGAACACCAGCAAGGCCCTCAGGTTATTCGTGTCCACGAGCAGCCTGCTGCCCAACCCGAAGTCGTCCGGGTCCAAGCTCCTGCCGAACCCCAATCCTTGATCCGTGTCATCAACAAGTCCGCTCCTGCTCCGACTGTGGAGCGAGTTTTGCACCGAAGCGCTGAAGCTTCGGTCGTTGACATTTCGAAGCCCGCTCCTCCCGCAGCCCGCATCGTCCAGGTTGAGCGCCAACAGGCTCCGGCTCCTCGCGTTGAGTTCATCAACGAGGAAGGCCAGGACTCCGTCCACTACCTCGACAACCAGCACGCTGAGGCCGTCGCCCCCGCTGTTGCTACTTACCACCACGCCCCCGCTGTCGCCACCTACCACCACGCCCCTGCTGCCGCCATCGAGACCTACCACCACGCCCCCGCTGCAGCCATCGAGACCTACCACCACGCCCCCGCTTCGGCCATCGAGACCTACCACCACGCCCCCGCTGCAGCCATCGAGACCTACCATCATGCCCCAGCTGCTGTCGCCACGACTTACCATCATGCCCCAGCTGCGATCGCAACGGTCCACCACGCTCCTGCCACCTCCCTCGTGAAGACCTACTCTGCCCCTGCCACCGTCTCCTCGACCTACGGATCTGCCCAGAACTACGGCAACACCGTTGTTCTCGACGCCAACAAGAAAGCCAAGTCCGCGTAAGGCCCACTCCTGGAATGTAAATAACCGTTGAATTGCTTGAGTATACACTATTCTTGCGAAAGCTCAAAGAGGGGCTCTCGGTCGGAAGCATAGATGAATGACCCCTTCAAGGGCAATGTGGAATAAAAGTCCTCGGAATGCTCAGAACGAGAGTACACAATCATTTAGGGACAGAGCTCGAAACTCCGAGTTCCGTCGCTCCGATGAACCAAACCATTCATTCATCGAACAGGTTCTTGTCCATCCCGAAGGAATGTCACCCGACGATTTACTCGTTATACTTCCGATATCGGAGTCCGGCTTTGAATCGGCAGCTTCTTTGTTCCCCTCATGGTCGCTTAAATGCAGTTCGCAATTGCGAAAGTACTCATGATTAGCCGGTAGATCCGGCGGCTACTTCGGTTCCCTCGATGTCCCTCTTGGTTCGATTCGATCGGGAGCCCGATTCATTCATATTAGATGTCATCTCTCATTCTTGGCTCGCTTTCATCGCGGACATCCAAATTATCATTGTTCTCGGAAAAACTTTCGGAAGACAAGATTTTTATCAGACACATCTGTGCCAGGCCCTACACGCAAGAACTCGATCTCGAAACAGGTAATTTCCCCTGACCCGAAATTCGGTCAAACAATTCTGGAAGTTCGCTCCCTCGCTGTGGTACAACGCTGATTTCTCATTGCAGGAGCTGCCAGGAGCCATGACGCGACGGTTCGGCTCCCATGCATATTTCTGCGTGCGTGAGTACGTCAATCAGTCGGTGTGTTGACAAAAGACGGAGCTTGGAGACGAGATCTGTCCACGAGTCGATGCTCCGCTTCCCCGAAATTCGCTCTGCAGACTAGCTTTCCGCGAAGAAAAGCCGCAGCGTTCCCGAGCGTCCGCTCGAACGCTCACCCACTCATTAACTCAGATCGTTCCTTAACTTATTCAGTGACACAGATCGAGAGTAAAAAAAGGGCAGCAGGAAGGAAAGATAAAAAAGCGCAATTTTTTCGGCGACATTGCCGGTCTGGAAGCGTCACCCAAGAGACGACGGATAGGTTACGTCACTGATTTTCTGTCAGAGCGAAATGATCGGCAGTTTGCGGGTTCTTTCGTCCCAGATTTCGGCGACGTTGTCGTACCCTCCCGTTCTGGGCAGTGTGTCGGATACCTCTACCAAACGCTATAAGAACGGTCACTGCAGCGGTCTTCGGAGTCATTTGGTTACTGTTGGCTGCTAGAACAAGTGCATGCCATGAAGCACATTCTGCTCGTCAGCATCGTGGTGTTCGTTTGTGCGGAGGCTCAAAAAGACAGAATCCGAGTCTTCGGCGACTATGGGAGCACATCGTGTGCTCCGGTGACGAAGTGTCCGTACCCCTGTAGACTGGGCAAGGAGACCACCGGTTGCGCCCTCTGTATCTGTCGTGAGTATCGAGAGACTCTGTAGCTTCTCTTTGGGGATCTGAAATTTTTTCCGAATATTTCTGAGCTCTTCCGAAGCGTCTATGACTCGCCTTGGGAGCACCGATCGCTCAATTTGTTTCATCTGATATATCGGCGGCGATTCCGATTGAAATCTTCCGAATGATTCCAGCGCCGGCCTGCCGATTCTGCTACAGCGGATGTTACCTTCCCTCGCGGCCGGACGAGTGTCCATACTGTGCACCATCATATCAGTGTGACGGACAAATCGATTCGGACTACGGAGTTTTCCCCGGGCTCGCACCCGGAATTGGACTAGGCTTCGGAAGATAGAGGACGGCCAGCCCGAAATCCGAGGGGTAATTGCATGATCTCTCGGAGGATCGAGCTGAGGGAATTTTGTTGAGCCCGTGACCAGCGCAGCTATCATCTCAGATTCCGGAGCATTCTGGGATGATCCCGTCTAGGAACAGATTTAGGAACGATGGGACCGGTTGGATAGAAGATTGATAATAAAGGTTGACCCTCCAGTATTGATAATGACTCCAGCTTCTTTGATGGAAGAGATCGAAAGACTCATTCTCGAAGTCAAGTGCGCGGGTTCCCACAGAGTTCTGATCCCCGGAAACGACGGGCACGGTCATCCAAGATCCGAGGTGGTCCGCACCGAAGTGGTCTAGAGGCAGATCGCTCTTTCGTGAGGGGTCTAGCAAAATTTCGATTCCATCACGGAAGGAACGACTCGAGCGATATCGTGCGACGCCCGGTTCTTCTATTCCGTATGACTCGGAAGAGACTCTATTCGTTCTTCAATGACGACTCTTTTCGGGGTCTTTCGAATCAAGCATCGAGGGCCGACCTTGAATTGAGAAAGCGAACCGAGTTCTGGGCACAAAGGGCTCAGGTCGGAATCTATTCAATGAAAACGCATGGAAGAAGAACCTCCATCGAGTGGCAGGCAGAGCCGAGCGGCTTATCTCATTATTTATCTGATTTGTGGTCGAAGCCAGAGGAAGTACGAGTGAAATGGCAGCGCATCCCCTACGTCGGGGGAGAACTTTCTTGGCTCACCGAAATTCATAACCGCTCTTCTTCGAACATGAACGGCTACACTGACCTATTTCGCGACACCCGTTCGGAATAATCGTGTCTGTTATCTCAAGTTACCCTAGAAACCACTCGACACACGGAATCCGGGGAACCCCGGGCGGCGGTTATGGGTCCGATTGAAGAGTTTATTTATCGAGGTTAAGAAAACATTTCGGGACCGAGGAACCTATCTCTCAAGAGTCAATCCGAGAGTTGCTCAATGCATGTGGTGAATCGTTGCAGTCCGTCTCGTTGTGGTTGGTCTTCTTGTGAATCCTATGAAACTCAATAGATTTTTTTGGGACGAAATTCCGAGAGAACATTTCGGCCATCTCGTAGATCGAGCCACCAATGTGACCGCCCCACATAGAATTTTGCATGTTGTCGATATGCATGCGTTCGAATGACACGGTTCCAGTTCAACTGTCACATCATCGTTCGACGGAGTCGGTGCCATAGTCATACCGGAGCCCACGACTCAGGTGAGTTAAGCGTTTTTCTAAAGCGCTTGTTCGACTCGGAAAGACTCCCTCGTCGACGCTGTAGAGGTTCCTGTCGTGTCTGCTTCCCCGGAGACAATGCATCCGAGAGCGTCTTCAAAATCTGGGATCGAGTTCTGGGGTATGGTATGGTATGGTAGTGATCCTCGCCCTCGTGTAGCCAAGAGCCACATCGACGGGCGACCCTAGTCCAGGGGCGAGTATTCTCTAGCGGATCCTTCGGGCCTCGTCTTCCCATTCCTCGAGCGTTCTCTTCGTCTCCTCACATGTCCCATCGTCACCCTCCCCCTCCAAGCCCAGCATTCTGGGGAGCTCATTCGTCTCAGAGTGATATGGTTCACATTTCATGATGATGTGAGGGATTGTTTCTACCTCTCTCCCGCATTTCGTACACAGTGGGTCGAGTGGTTCGTATTTCGTTCGATGTGCTCTGGTCGGTAGCATTCCCGCTCTGGCCAGTGCTAACAATGTACTCCCTCGACTATTCGTATATAGCCCGCGTACCGTTACGCCCCTTACTTTCCATTGTCTATATAGGGTGAGACTTGATTTCGAGCTCATTGACTCCGTCCATTGCTCACTTAGTTTTACTTTTATCCTCCTCTTCACTTGTTCATTGAAGAGTTGGAATCTCGCACTCTGATCTCCCGTATATTCTAGGGGAATATCCGTGCATGAGAATCGTTTTTTAAGAAAGTTCAGTCGGGCTATGGCTTCTGTGTATATATTTGTAGAGGCCATCATCGATAGGCACTTCCGTGGCCATCGGTCTGAATCCATCGCACTTATTCTTGCGAAGTATCGGATTTTGCTCTGCGCCTCTCTGCTCTCGAATGTGGACCACCCAAGCTCGCCGAGCACAAACTCTGTCGCGACCTTATGTGCCGTGATCCCCATAGCCCATTTCCCTGCGGCCACCTGAGTTCTATCAAAGATGGCCGTAATTTGTCTCGATGCCCGCGATGCCAACACTGCGTTCGCGTATGTTAGCTTCGGTACACCTGTCGCCATCCATTGGATCCGTGTGATCTCGAATCTGTTGAATGTCCATATGCTTTGAGCGTGTAAGCTCTGAAGTGCCTTGTGTGCCTCCCTCTTCCAGATTTGTTCTTGGCGAAGGAGATAGTTAGGTTCATTACAGATAGTAATCCCAAGGTATTTATATTCGTCTTCGAATTCTATGTGCTTCCCTTGTATTTTCATTTCTCTAGGCTCTCCAAGTCCGGTGTGATTAAATATTATCATCGCACTCTTCGCGGGGTTGAACTGTAGATTTTTCTCATTCCCCAGTTCAGTGGTCACAGATAGCATTACACTCATCTCTTCGTATGATTGTGCCATCATCAGGGGTGTTCATTCATCACGCCTCGCTCGTTCTCCTTCCTGCGACCAGGGGCTTCATTTGAAAGTTCCTTTCAGATCCTTCCCCAATTGTTCGCTACGTGATGGGCTGCTGTATCTATTTCTCACTGATTGTGACCATCGCGGTCTTGTATTTGCTGATCCAAGACGACTTCGTGGCCAATCTTCTTGATACGGCGTGGAGATTCTATCGTCGACGCAGCGATGGATAGAGATTGCGACCACGGCTTGCGCTCCCGCATGCCCTTTCAAGACTGTCCGGAAGGAAGAGATTGGGGAGCTCCATCGAAGCTGAGAACATTTGCTTAGGAAGATCATTTTTCGCCATCGTTCATCGACCCCCATCATCGGATCGGGTGGTCCCACAGTCACTCGCGTCGATTGAAACCCAACAAAAAGTCGGGGATGTGTAAAGCTACTATCGCAGTCGGGGTTGAGACCCTTGTGATTATGTAAACTACAGTAATAAAGTCTGTCCGTGAGTTCCAATGAGTTTTCCTTCTGAACCCCGATCCTGGCCGCGGAGAATCGACTTTCCGCGCCTACCGCAAAGACTGGTGGAGATCGTGGAGAATGGCTCCTCCTCTCTGAGCGGGGAGACGAATTTTCTGTCCGGTCCCCTTCTTTGATATCGTCCGGACGAATCAATCGTAATATTTGGATGTCACAACGTGGTCTCCGCGAGAGCTCGTCTTTGAAGCGCACCCCGGAGGAGCGAGCGAGCGAGATCATCGTCAAAGTTGTCTTCGAGCGAAAACATGGGAAAGGGAGATCGCGCGCTGTTTCCAAACAAACAGACGGTGCCGCTGAGGGAATACCGAATTCAAGCAAATCGAAAGCCACCGCACGCGCCGATCAGAATGTCGACACTTCTGCCGCTCGGTAAGATTTCTTTCTCGTTTGGATGGGGATAGAATCCTCTCATAACCTCTTAACAGAGAGTCACGCCTTGTCACATCATCCAGATCCAATGATTACGCCCTCATAAACATGTACGCCAAGCTCTTGGCGCCTCTCAGGAAATCGATGATTGGTCTGATCGGAACAACTGTTCTCGACTAGTGCGAGTCAGCCGGAAGAACTCGAGCTCATGTGAGCTCTGCATTATCCGAATCCTAGCGCTCTCCTCCCACAGAGCTCATCGACAAATGCATTGGATCCCGTATCCACATCATCATGAAGAACGACAAGGAACTGGTCGGCACACTGTTGGGTTTCGACGATTACGTGAACATGGTTCTCGAAGACGTGACCGAGTACGAAAATTCGTCTGACGGACGCCGGGTGACGAAGCTCGATCAGATTATCCTCAACGGAAGTAACATAACCATGGTAAGGATGAGCGTCGTGTCGGTCCTATGAAACAGTATCACGATTACGATAAACGGTGAGCGTTTCGACGCAGAACGGGGCGAGGTCGGCATGGAGCTAAATTATTGCACAAACTCTTTACAGATGGTGCCTGGTGGTGACATTCCCGACAGCTGAGCCAATCCGTGCAGGATATGAGTGATATCTGTACATAAAGATTTTCGGGCCACCAGCTCTTATAAAACTCCGGAGTGATCCTACTGATTCACGAGATCTTTTCATTGTATCCTCCTCTCCTGCTATGTACCTGGACTCATTCGTCGTCCTCGAGGCTCGGCCTGTTCATCACGCGCCCCTCCATGACGATCTCTTTGCATTCCGGGAATCAGAGAGTCGATGTGCATTGGTATACGAATCTCTCCCTGAGGTTCAGCGGAAATATTTGAGTCACCTCGACCTCTGACTGCGATTTGAAAAATTTGAATCAGGAACCCTGATCATAGTCGCTCCATGAACACTTCATTTTATTGGTCTCTCTGTCCATCCTGTAGTCGTTATTCAACTCCAACGCCACGGAACGCAGTCCCACTCGAGTCTGAGATTCGGCTCGCACGACATACGAAAGGCATACCCATGGACATCTTCCGGGACAAGTCCGATTTGATCGCGGAGAGAGGGAACCTCCCGCTTGCCTTCGAATGCTCCTCAATAGATAAAGTAGATTTTCCGCCAAGAAGATGAGCCCCTTGGCGGATGGTCGCGAGGCGGGTAGGCGGGTCCCTTCCGAGCGCCCTCTCCTCCGGATCGATTCACGAACCGACCCTCAGCATACTACATCGGTTGTACAAATGTTCACTGGTCGACTTGGTGAATTATTGAACTTGACGGTGTCGCAGACAGCTCCACTGTCTGGGATGTCTCCGAAACCGCCGAGGATCGGAAACTGGAGAACGGATGCGATTCGGGGAACGTGCATCGAAGCACCAATTCTTTGCGTCGAATGCTTCGAGGTTCGCTCCCACATAGTGGAAGTCCAGGGGAATCGAAAAAAAATCACAATGCCAGCAAGGGCATTGTTCAGGTCTAGTTCATAGAAAGATCAGAAGTCAAGGAGTGCCCCGCGTTCTCGGACTGGCTCTGTCCTGAAAACGGCTCATCGAAAAGCTCAAAATGTACGACCAAGAATGATTTCCTCGTCCTCTTTGCAGATCTCATGAAAACCAAGTCTTGCGTAGAAGTTCTGCATGTTCGTATCATTGACGTTCATCTTGACATGAACTCCGTGACTTCCGTTGGCTTTCAGGGCTGCGATAACACAGGCTAGGAGCCTCTTTGGCAGTGAGCAGTCATCGATATGAGGGAGGAGAGCCATCACGAGAACCGAGGGATATTGTGGGTACGCCGTCCACGATGACGACGTCGTTGAATGGAAACTTGAGATGATTTCGCCCGCTCTGAGAAGAAAAAAGGGAGAGCTAGGATGAGAGCTCCGTGTCTTCTGATGTCCTCCGTATTTCTCAGGACCCTTACGATCCAGAGACCCGTGTATGACTCTGAGAGGTCAAAAATTTCACTCACTTGGACTGATTTGAATCTTTGTCGCCTTCCTCCAGCGGATACTTTTCTTTCAACTCCATGTTCCAAGCGATTTCCAAACGCTTGAAAAACTCGACCGCGTTCACTGAAGCCAACGCGTACCCAACGATTCTCTGTTCATCTTCAACAACGAAACTGAATTCACTGCTTAAGGCGAGGAAACCGCCAATCGTCCTGAAAGGCAATTCGATATCATTCGAGTATCCTCGATCCAGGGGGGGGGGATATGAACTCAACCCGCGCCACATCCAATCGAGAAGGGATCCCCGCACGGAACCAACTCCCGGAACGGAGCTCGCCACTTACTTATCTGCGATCAGATTCGGATAGCCTTCGAACTCCATGGTTCCATCCTCTCCATCGATGCATGTCTTATTACACACCATATACACCGCCTCCTCGTCAGCGGCTGCGTATGGTCTGATGGAATACGTTTTGCTGTTCGGCGTGTCCGGTGCTTTGTAGAGGAAAAGATCGTTCACGCTTTCCAACGGCAACAGTCTCTGGAGCTCCGCTATGAGACCTCCCTGGAATATCCACGGCTCTTGTTCTCCGGGGAGGAAAGCTTGCTTCCCGTAACCTGAATCCAAGTTGATCGTGTTAGAGATCCCTTGAGAAGGAATACTAGAGCCTCCGTCTCCCGTCCGTCGGATCGAGCAGAAAATACAAAAGATCAAAACGGAAAGTGGGCCAACCTTTTGAATATCCTATCCATTTAATATAAGAGTTGATGAGCGATATCACTCCTTTGATGTCCCAGACGTAAGGATTCAAATCGTAGAGAAGAGATCGATTCGAAATAAACATTAGCTTCTCAGATAGGCGATTCACTCGCTGTGTCATGTGATCGAATTTCGTGGCTCGTCGATACCTGGGAAAAAAGTCGTGCATACTAATTCAAACGGAAATTCCCTTCAAAGACCGTCGAGCAATCTGCTGTAATTCAGCTGGCCTTAACGCAAGAATTCCCAGCCGGAAACTCGACATCAGGCGCCTTTGATCGAGCGGAGTCTACGCGAAACTCACCATTCGTCTAATTCCGTGTTGTTACGTTTTGTGGCTACATAATGAGCATTCAATTTCAGCCAGGCAAAATCGTGAAGAAATTCAGCGCCTTGCCGACCGTGCTCGAATGGGAGGTAGAAGAGATCTACCAGGAGAGATATTTCAGAAGCCGTGAGTGGGCCTTTGGGATCCTCGGCGATGGAGAGATCTTCGGACGTACTGTCAGCGGTGGATTCCTCGGTCTGCAAACGGAACTTCGTGAGGCTGGACTTCTCGGCAGAGCTGATCTACAACATTAATTCGAGTTGGTGGGGGTTTTCCCTCCGTTCAAAGTTCGAAAATTCAGAGCAAGGATAATCTGCCGCTCTCGGACCTGCATGTCTTCTTCGACCTTTACGGGGTCTTCATTGATGAGTTCGTCCTCTCGAGAAGGACTGGCACTTTGAGGCGGCGTGGGATTGCAATCCATCGGCTCGAGTTTCACCGCGGTTCCGACCAATGTATTTACAAGCTGAGAGCTCAACGGCGGCGCGAAAATCTCTTCGGCAGTTTCTGGGTTCAACGGATTCACAGAAGCTGGAAAGATTTCTTGTTTCAGCGTTCCACACGGGATAATTGATTGAACCCTAGATATTGGGATGCCGAGTGAATGGGAGTCATGGCAGTGCGCACGAGAGGGAGCACGGGGAGCACACGTGTTGAGGGTAATCGTTTCCATCCATGCAATTCACTTACACGGCATGAGGCTGTCGGTATTTATCAGACGACCATAGGCGCTCTTTGTTGCGTTGAATTCGCTGAGCCACGCTTGTATCGCCACTTGGACGGCCCTTCGCGGATGGTATGAGTGCATCGGGAGGTGAGCAGGTACTTCCTCTTCTTCTGTGAGCTCGGTGGCTTCGAGCGTGCGGGTTCCAGAAGACCCGCAGCTGTTCACGCTCTCGCACGATGAGTTGTCTTCCTCTGCAATTGCATGGGATTCACTTTTCATGCGGCCTGTGCATCCGAGCGGATCCGTTCAGTAGGCTGCGACGATTCCTCGAAATTCGTCATTAGACATGACTATCTGTTGACTTACCGTTTTTGCATGCATCGGCCGTGCACTTGCTCCATTGAGACAAGGTGTGGATTGCGATATAGTTCGCCTCGTATTCACAGTTGGGATTCGTGAGGACGCCCCTCAAGTGCGGAATCAGCCTCGTAGATCTTCCGGAGTAAGGTCCGAGGAATATTCGTTTGTGGTCGTAATCGTTCGCGTGCAGATTATCCCAGATAACGGGCGGCCTTCGCAACACCTGCTCAGTCAGACGAAGGAATTAGGTCTGGGATCGATCCCGAGCTCGGAGGTTTTTGGAGAGCTCAACGACGTTTCGAGTGGGAGACTCACCTCTTGAAGTTCTCGGATCGACTTGAGCCCGATCGTTTTCGAAATAACTTTGCCACCAGTCCACATCACGTCGATCCCCGGAAGAAGTTTCTGGCCGATAGTCGAGAGATATTCTGAGTTCTGCACGTTGGGAACAGCTCTTGAAGCGCAGTACTCTGGAAAGAGTGATGAAAGATTGGGATAGGTGCCCTTTACTCCACGGTAGTCTGATTGTCTTTCCGCGACTTCTGATGCGGTTCCAAGCAGACCCGGTAATCCCGGGACGGAGCCTCGTGATAGGGTCTTGAATAGATCGGATAATCGTACCCGTGGGGCAGAAAAGAAACTTGAGTTGGCCCAGAGCTTGGAAGACTTCGTTGGTGACAGAGACATGAGCTTGGGCGAATGTTTGGAAGACTTCCTTGTCGGCTTCACCGATCTCCGGCTCGATGTCGTCGAACAACAGAGCGAACGCCTTCACCCCGAAGGAAGCGATCTGGAAGAGACGACGTATCAGTGAGGCACCGCCCGTAGTTTGTTCCAGCATATCGCTCGTATAGGTAGCGAGGAGACTCGGGTGTCTCTTGCCAAACTTCTGGCATTGATGCACCGACCTGTTCGAGTTTTCTCTTGAGCGTCGCAACTTCTTTCGGACTGCTGTACATCATGTCAAGACCGGGAGATAGCGCGTAATAGAACTCGATATCGTTCTCCTTGGCGGCGGCCACCAGAGATTGCAGCTCCTCTACTTCTTCGACGGTGTACAGATCCCTCCAATACAGTCGATGCTTCGTATCGTCCTTCGGTGCGTACATATAGGTGTTCATGTTCCAAGCTCTCATCCTGATGAGGAAATAACCATAATTATTAGAGGGAGTCTTACCCCGACGCCCAATTATGGGAATCTCCGTCCTCGTGAGGCGGATAGTAATATCTGAGCTTCGCTGAGCTTGGGATGATTACTATCAAGGCTCCCTGTGATAATTCATAAGGTTGAGATATGTAGCTTACTTGACAAAAAGGTCTTTCCGTTGCTCGTTCGTCCATGGTTTCCCGTAGAAACCTGGAAGGATACACGAGCAAGATTCAGCATGGAGTCTCTTGTTTCGGAGAATCTAAGCCCCGGATGCGAGCAATGAGTGATTCCAATGAGTGATCCGACGATAAGTGGTCGATATCTCTAGCTCAGCAGCGATTTGAGCAGTCGTGGGCTCATGGTTATCTGATGAGCCCCCGACTCCCCAAAAGCTCATCCGAATTGTATGTCGCATGTGCTGCGTTCTGATTCTCGGAGACACGCGCCAAGAACGCTCATCATCAGGATAGATCCGCGATGATGTGTCTCGCCGCGTCCCGCGATTTCCCAAGATTCAACCGCTCCGATATAAACACTGCTTGGGTCTCACTCCGACTCTCCTCCGAGCTCCGGATAAGATGGCTTATCACTCCGTGGAAAATCCTATACATAGTCCCAGACTCGAAGTCTCACCTTCAACCACACCACAGAGGAACCTCGGTTCGTCCGGCGTGTCCGCGTCCTGCGACATCTCGAATCTCTTCTGGAGCTCAGCGAATCAGTTGTTAGAGTGCGGGCGTCTCCTTGTCGACTACTGCATCTCAATGGCCGCAGGTTTCCACAGTTGTCAGCAATCAGAGCGGCGGTGGGAAGCTTCTATGGGGTGATCCGCGGGACTCTCATCAATAAAAAGAGCACAACCACGATGCTTAAGCCGGGAAACGCCTCAGAAGTTCTGTAATAGTCGAATTGTATCGATTCCTGCAACACAGATATAATGTGACAAGAGTCACAACAAAACTTCGACACTGCCGATTCTACTGGAGTTTTGACGACCGGTGAGTCCTATTCGATCTTCGAGGAGGGCGGCACGAGTTTCCTCTCATATCCTCACATTCAAAGCTCGAGAAGTTCCTGAGTTCCTCGCTGTTTTCTCCATTGTTTCCCAGCTATCCGGCTCGCAAACACAATATTAGAAAGAGCTGCGTCGGCCTCCGTCATTTAGGTCGGCCGTTCCGAGCATTTACGATCTGAGGCGGGCTTTTGTCCTCGTTCCGGAGTCTCTGTAAGAAGCAAGCTCCGAATCACTCGAACTACGATCACGAATGTCTCATGTTCGATTAAGGAGTGCAGAAATAATTTCTAGACGATCAGCACAAGGAGCTCAAACATCCCTCCACGGTACAGCGATATCCGCAGCCCACCAATCAGGTTCGAGATCGCGAAGTCTCGAGCGAGAGCCCGTACCATGCAGCTTTTATCACTCTTCCGACTGCCTGGGCTCATGAGGAAATGAGCTCCCCCGCAGGAGCGAGCCAAAACCCTCCCCCTAATCGAGCTTTGTGTTTCCCATCTTTTTCAATCGTCCTGCCTCTCTTCCGAGCTAGACCAGGCGATGCTTAGGGAAAAAAAAAGGTACGTGAGCTTATCGGGGGCCGTGCTCCCGTACGCTGGCATAGGAAAGAAACGGAGAGGGGGAAACATTGCGATCCCCAGCTACCGGAGGGAGTGACCGGTTCTCGGAGTCCGAGCAGCAAGGTCAAGTCGAGTCGAGGCTGACTCGAATGGCGCGGCGACCACCGCTGCATGAGTCCTCATATGAACGATGGCCTTCGCGCGGATTCGGCCCTCAAAGGATCTGGGCCTCGGGAACCAATGAATACAGATTGGAAGGGACGCTCCTTCTGTCCAGTTCGTCCCTGGACCCATATAGACATGAAAGCTCGGTTTCCGAGCTCGGGACCCTGAGGGGGGACTGTTTATACGCAAGCTCTCATCTTCCCCGCGACTTCCGGTTAGTCACGAACTTCGAGCACCGTAGGAATTACCGTCCTCGAACTTTTTCGTGAAAGAATCGATTGCGCCGAGGTCTCACATGCGCTTCTAATGCTCATATACATACATGCGATTTTATTCGATCACGAATATTTACATCGGATGTCAATTTCGATAGCGGGAGCAGAGCGAACAGGTATCCTGCCAGTCTCACTCAGATTCGTTCCTGGACGATGTGTCCTCGGCTATACCTGACTGAGCGAAATGTCTCATTTTCCCAGATCCATCGCCTTTCTTCAAGTAATGCATACACTGTCCGAATAGGTCTGGAATAGGAACAGCTCTGTCTAGGATCAGAGTATTATCGTTTCTCTAGACCCTTACCGGTCAGAATGATCGCTCAGACAACTTGAATCGAAGGAGCTCCCGCCGGCGAGTTCCGAAAGAAATCACTCACATTGCGCCTTCGGTTCCGTATACAGAGCACCGCTATCACAGAGATCACAATGATCGCGCCCACCATTCCCATGACTGCTTGTAGTGTAGTCTGTAGGAATCAGCAGAAGATATTGAGACACGATGAAAAGCCATTATGGCATACCTTCAGATATAAATATCTCCGAGAAAATGAGCAAATCCACTTACCTCCCTATCGTATTCCTCATGCTCGATGTTGGGAGTTTCATATGGAGGAGTATCTCCAACAGCAACGTCATAGTGTCTGTCTGAAGAGCGAAGATGTCTAGGTAATTATTATCTCTGAAATTCGATGAGAGGGAAATGGTGCGCGCATTGGCGGATCAGGATGAGCAGAGCTCGTTCCCCGCCATGGGAGACTTACGAATCGACATAGCTTTGCTGCTCCATGGTGCTGGCATCAGAGTTTATTCAGCGATGCTTCCCGTTTTCGGGCATCAACCTGGAGTTGCTAGTCGACGATAGTCAATCCGTTTCGCTATGGGGACAGCTCACTCTTCAGGATGAGCGCCTAGAGACGAAGGATTATCTTTGGGAGAAACATTCTCATATCTGGACTGCTGGAATATCTCTCAGAGGAATTGATTTCGATTCGGACTGTAGAAATGAGTCTGTCTATGCGAGAGGCCCCAGGCAGTCTAAAACATGGAGGAGTGCTACACATCAATCCTGAGCGAGCGTATTACAGTAAGTAAAGTCCAACTTGTTGCCTTGAGCTACTGTGGGATTTCGCCCGGTGAGCCTCGACGAGTATCCACATGAGGGGGAGATGAGCTCTACTCCACGTACTTATTGTCTGACGTACGGAGAGGACACCCACGCATAGGCACAAGAGCAATTCCATGTCACGATGCACGACTACCTTTCGACTTAGCGCTCTGGAAAACCCATTTGAGGGAGAGCGGAATGTTGACAAATTTATGACGCCTAAATGTAGACCATTGTCACGGACTCGTCACAGAGCAAATACTTCCCCGGACCCCTTTCAATCTGGCACAATTCACTCAGAAGATGAGTCCTTTGCAGCAACCATCGAAATTCTGACTCCTCTGGTACAGAATACCGCTCCTCACGCCTCGATCTAACGCTTTGTCTCAGCGAATTCCTATGACGGAGGAAAAATAGACATCGAACCTGGAAATTCCCCAACTTGGGAAGACGGACCTTCTCTGCATTAAAGAGGTGTTTCGGACTTCATCCTCGCGGTCAGTCCAAAAGGTCGCCGGTCGAGCCCTCCGTCTAATCCTGGCGTCATTCAATTTTCGGCTGACTCGGAATACTGCATATATATCAGAAGGCGGTTAGTTTCCGATATGAGGGCAGTCTCGAATGAAACGTCACGTCAATGGATTGTTTGTAGGGTAGAAGCAACCGGAGAGCGATCTCCGATAAGCGGTTACTCCCATAGGTCGGTATTCCAGCAAGCATCCGGTATGCTCTAGTGCAGAGTTAGACGGGGAGGTTCCGAGCGGTAAAAGATGCACGGGCATACCCTTCGATAAGAAAATCAATGTTAAGCATGACTTTGTCCATTCTTGCCTCCGAAACTGTCTTCTGTTTGCGTCTCTCATCAAACAATGATGGAGCAGATTTGATGAATGAAGGAGGGAATCCGCGCATACATTCACCGTATGGAGCAGAGGATCTTTCAGGTAGGGAGCTTTTGGAATCGCGATTCGCTACGGCAGGCGCTATGCGGAGCGAACTTTGTACGTGCTGCCGCGGTCGAAATTCCCATCCTCTGAGAAATCCTATCTTAGTGCTTACGATGGATTCTCGCAAAGTAGTTTCGGCATCACTCCGATCGATCGGAGTCCTGTAAGCTCCTCGCAAGTCGGGAGCGAGTTTCCCCGGAATCCTCGGAGTTCGCTCTCCCTGTTGATGAGCGCAAGAGATGACCAGGAAAAATCTTAGAATGGAATAATCTGTCCCGACGTCTCTCGTGTTGGACTCTCTTCGCTCACGAGCGGAATGTGGGTTCGCAGAGTTTAAAGAGCGAGACAAAGACGCCGTTGTCGAGTCCGAGCTACTCTTGAACGCCATTCATCCTTCAAACTGGCTAAACTAACATTGAGTAAATTTAAAAAGTGTGGAATGGTGCGGTCGTGTGGATCGGCTGATTGCGGAAAGATACTCACTCTACGCTGGGCGTCGCTGACAGCGAGCCTGCTGCATGTTACGTGGTGCATCAGCTCGGAACTAGGAAGGAGAAAAACAATATTTATATATATAGGAATTTACGATCACCGTTTGCTTGAGTTTCACGGCGCAAAGACGCTGAGTCTCATACTCCTCGACGGGAAGCGTTCGAGTTTTACGGCTGAAATTCGAAATAAAAAATCCCGACCATCTATTCCGCTTCTCTGTTCCGCTCGGTGAGAGACGATTAATAATGAGTTCCGCAAGATTGAGGCGCAGCCAGGCTCTCGAATTCCGTGCTTCTCTCCTTGGCCTTAACTCCTTGAGCCGATCCACATATCACAATGCGTTGGCGCTCGTACTTCGCAAAGAAGTCATTTCGAACATTTCACGGAGTAGATTCAGTATACCCTTCAACTCGCAATTGCTCGGGAGAGCTCTCCTTCCATCAAATTCGGATAGATGGCTCTTTTCCTCAGTTCCCTCAGAGATTCCCCCTGCAATCTACTCTCGGATGAGGATCGCCGGAGACTACCGTCGGTCACTGTCCGACCGGCGCGGCGCCCCTCTGGCCAGCGATGGACCTGCTGCGAAAAGGAAAACTGTGACACGCCGTTGTAATATTAGCTGGGAATGCAACTCCCCTTTGGAGGTGTGTCGACGCGGACGGAATGGACTTGTCCCGACTAGTGCTAATCATGGACAGTGCCGATATGGAAAACTGATCGAATGGGAGTTTTTTCCACAGAGGAGCTTTCTGACAGAGATCTCTTCCGCCACCGGATACTCTTCTCTCGCTATGGAGAGCTTGATGAAGCTCCGCTAAGTGGATTCCGGTGTCGAGATCGGGGCTCCTCCGACTCGGAGATCATTCGAACGGATCCGCTTTACCCTGCTTTTTCTCTGAGATTAATTAAAATCGCATGAATCATAGGAGAGAATTTGATTGGTTATGTTCTCCGATTGAGCGTGCGAGCGTGAGATGATATTGCTGTGTTTCGCTCAAAGCTCAATTTTCGTACCGATGTGACGACATGGGTGAATCCGTATCGAGCGGATGTCTGGTCACGGACGGCCGCATCCGACATCCAATCTCTGCCCGCGTCACGTTTCGTTGATCATTGAAATCAGCGCCAAAATCCTCTGCGGATTGTGCCAATGACGGTGATGTCGAACTCGCGTCGGATGCGTCCGGTTCCGTCATTTGGAAAGTCGTCGTATACTCGATCGAATTAAAAAGGCATCTGTCTTATTTAAGGGCTCAGCCGATTCTCCGTAGCAGGCGGAACTACGAAATCTGTCGGATGATCAGTCGTCAGATTTGCTCAGTGCAAAATTTCACTTTACAGCTTTCAATGACGGATCTTGATGGACCTGACGCATCCATGGACATAGAGTATCCTTTCGAGGCTCGGCTGGCATCCCGGATCGGAGAGAGAAATCCGCGAGAGTGCACTTCTCGCTGTGACGCCGAGCTTTTCGTCTGAGGGATCATATCGAAGAGTGAGGACCTCCGCGATCGCCAACGTTTCCCCATCGACAGTCATTTAGAACAACAAACACGACAATAGGAGAGAGGAAAGAAAAACAGCGACACACAATGTCCATGGACTTCGTACACGCATGGACATCCACAAGAGCTCCTCGAAGCTATAAGTGGCGCTCTCCGTGTTTTTACCCGTCATCCCGGAGATCCGCGACGAATGACTTGTGAACTCAGCTGACTGGGATCACGTTGATCAATGCCTTCACGAAAGACTTCCTAGCAACAAGTTGTTCAAGGTTGCACGCTACTCGAAAGCTTGGCTGCCTTCTGTACAAATTTTCGAAAAGGTTTCTCGAATACTGATTGCTACAGCCTCGCCTATTGAACTCTCGGGAGAATTCCAGGTGACTTCCGCCCGATTCTCTGCCGTAGACAACTGGAAGGTCCCGATGTTCGAGCTGCAAGAATGCTTACGCGATGCGACTAAAGAGAAGAGCCCCTCTGCCGATTGAAGGAGCAAGGAAATCTCCGATCATACGGGATAATTCGATCGTCATACGCAATCATATTTTTCTCGCTCGACGGGAATTTCCAGAATGTTCCTTGGTGGGCGTCCGAGGCCGGATGGATCGCCTTCTATTCGATTCCTGAATATTCCTCTTGCTCGATTGGGGCTCCGAGCGATCGATATCTAATGGCGCTTGTTGGAGCGAAGTCCAAACTCGTTAGATCCATGGGTGAGACTTCAAGGAATTCTCGGACGCTCGTGGCCTATGAAGACTCCGGCGGCTGTTCTCACAATGATATATGAAGATCGACTCGAGAATAACGTGGGATATGGTGTCATTTACATATATGTCGTTCGGGGCATCAGCGCAAACGTCTGAGTAGCAGGGAACGTTCATGTTCACAAGGAGGGATCCAAGGCATAAGCGAGGCGTCGAAACGAAGCCCCCGAGAAATCCAGCGCAAGCACTGCGAAGATCCGAAGAAGTATGACTGACGTTAGCTACAAATGCCTCACGGAGCTGACTTTCAATCGTCGAAACTCGAGGCGGAGGGGGGGACGCTTCTTGTCGCGAAGTCCAGCTCACCGGTTCCGCGCGTACCTCCTTCCGAGGGAGTTTCCCCCGCGGAACCGTTCTACCGGCTCACGAAGTCTTAGAGCCGGCCTGGAAGGCTCTATGGTAGAAGCCTCGAGAGGATTGGAACATGAGCTCCCGGGTGAAGGGAGACGAATCGGCCTCGCCGAAGAGACGGGGCCGCGCCTAAAGTTGACATCCCCCTCCCACTGTCATGTGACATCTGATCGTTCATACGTGGTTTGCTTGAGATGACTTGGAGCTCTGAGCCTCAAGTGTCTTCTCAATCAGATCAGCTCGTACGTCGTTCCTGCCCCCTCTCGGAGAGTTACTCGCGCGGTATATTCGCAAATTACTGTAGTTTTCCGTATGTACTTATCGATCGAGCCCGCGAGGACCTAGTTCTGTTATGGAGAATGGAAAAGTCTATCACCCGTTCAAGCCGGGTACCGATTCCTGTGGATCCTCATGAGTCACGTTACACGTTTCGATTGACAGGATATGTGACGAGCTAATACGATCCTCTGCGATGCGCGCATTCATCCTTCACCTGCTTGGGATCCGATGAAGCATAGGCACGTAGTCTCTGTGACGAACATGAGCCCATGATCCGCAAACTCAAACGCGGCCGTAGATTGATATCGCGTTCGTAAGACAGCATCTTCATCGGCTGCGTCATGCGAGGACGTGATGTAAATTCCGTAGATTCGTCCTGCCCCTTCTCGACGTGGATGAATTTTATTCCGACGATACTCAAAGCGGTCGAATCTCGGTGAAAAATCCGAAATCCGACGAATCGATGCCGTTGACAGCATTCAGAGGTTAAACAATGATATGACAACGACGACAACGCCGGCGGCAGCGGCGGCAACAATCCCGGTGATGTGTAACACGTTGGTGAAGCAGTCGCTGATGATGGTGTTGATGATGATCATCACTACTAAAGCAGCACTTTCCCGTTGTTCTGTACCCCTCTCCGT